TCCGGTGATGCGTGCAGCAGCCTTGCCTGCTGATAGGCTAAAGACCCCCTCAGCGCTCAGGCAAGCTGTGTGTGTTTTGTGCAACGTGAGTGTGTTAGAGGGACATGGGAAGAAGAGCAGTGAGGACGGGAGGGGAGGGGACACCCCGCACGTGCTGAGGAGCCTTGCAAAACGCTTCACGCCAGGCTTCTCTCATTCATCTAATCCATCTTTCTTAGGGGTTTGCTCTGTAGCGTAAGGCTCACCTCGAGGCACTTGAACATGAATGTTACATAAATAATGTGATGCATTACATTGTTGTAAGTGTGTCGTGGTGCACGCGTTTAACAATTTACTCCCTGTCCATTTCTTTACTTGTGTGTTTTCCAGTAGCTGAGCTCTCGTTCTCAGTGTGTCTTTGGTTTCTAGATCATTATGTGCTTGTTCCCACATTGCATTCTGATCAGTCCCAGATAACGATTTGTCTTTTTTAAGCCTGTTTCCCATGAGAGCTTGTGATTAGAAATGCTAAAGCTGGGCTAATTCATGGCTGAGAAGAAGAAAATTAGCTGTGTCTCTTTCTGTCAGAAGCGTACTATAGCATGGACATCTGTGAATGTGAAACCTGCAGCTAATATATTTGACATGAAACTTGCTCCCAGTGCTTTAAACCCTCGTAACGCTTCAGTATTTTACTAAAGATAAACAGATCTGCTCCCGTAGACAGTATTAATTCAAGTCTGCATCATTGAGGGCAATCGTCTGTTAATGCTTGAAACAATCAAACCCGTTTGTGTAAAACGTGTAAAAATTTGTAAAAATAAAAGTTATTTTCTAGTACTTCCACTTTTGTAATCGTGAATCGGCATATTCAAGTAAAATGGTTTGGTTTTCATTCATCGGGAACTGATACAAAGTGTATAAGTGGTTGTTTTATAGCTACTTGATATCGGAGTGAGAGATATGCTCCTCTCTTCTGCTAGTATCATTTTATTTTTTTTGGAGGAATGGGACATGGAAGCTAAACATCGAGTTTTATGCTAGTCACCCCAATTCTAATTAAATTAATAAAAGCGCTTTCTTTGTTCTTTTAGACATGAGCAGCATTTGGGAACGCAACACACACCAACCTTCATCACAAATTATTTCAGGACTTCCTGTGGTTTTCTGTAAAAATAGAAGGTTGTATGGTTTAACGCTTGAAAAGTAGAAATTAAGTATTTTTATTTTTCCGACAAAACAACGGAAGCAGAAAGTGCTACACTGGTGTCTTTACATCGCCACTGGTGCTCAACTGGAGGTAAACAGATGAAATACTCCAAGGCACTTTATTAATTAAAAAGTTAATTAAAGGCTTTTTACTAGTGGTGTGTAGAGACCGTCGTGTCATGATTCGATACATATCACGATACTGAACTCACGATACGATATTATTGCGCTACTCCTAGACGTATGGTAAAAGGTTAACTAAAAATACACTGTTGATTAAAATGCTAAATTTGATATTACATTATGGGTTTAAATGAATAGGCTTGGACTCTGTGCTTGTAACCCAAGGACAATGGGGACATCAGAATAACAATATTCATGATTCTGAAGCTGAAAATGCAGAATAATTTTAGACGAATATTCTTGCTCTTTTTCTGACTAGATATATTTAGATATTTAAAATAATGTTGGACACTTTTTACTGGTCAAGTTACAGAAGTCATTTTGCATTATCAGAAACCACAAATATTCCCCCATTGCATTATTATACATTATAAATCAACATTATAGTAGTTTAATGTAGTACTGACACTAAAACTCTGAAAACTTTCATTTTTTGTCACACAGTAATTTTTTATTTTTACTATCCACGACACGTATTGTTGCATTTTTGTATTGTGATACATTGTGGCACGATATATTGTTACACCCCTACTCACTCAGTGCCTTGGAGTATTTTGTCTTCATAACTAGAATTTTATTTTACAGTCAAATATTATAATAATAATATTTCTTATTTTGTTTTTGACTTGTAATTATTATTTAAAATTAGTAGTAGTAGTAGTAAAATTTATAACAATAGGCTAAGTATTATTATTATTATTATTAATTTATAGATGTATTGATCATAAACTTTTGGCCAAATTGTTCAGCCTTACAAACAACCACAGAAAACCTGGAAATGTTTTTTAAAAAGCATTTTATCAGGTGAATGTTAGGGTTATGTTTAGTTTCTTGTGTTTTGTTGTTATTCTCCTTGTTCCTGGTTAGTTTCCTCGGTTGTTTATTAGTTCCTCACACCTGTTTCTGTTCAGCTTATTACCTCTCCCCATTAAAGGGATAGTTCACCCAAAAATGTGAACAATCCCTTTAAGCATCGAGTTCTTTCTGTTCATTATTCGGTCTCGTTTGCATTTGTGTTGTGGTTGTAAATTATTTCCTAGTTATTATCCTGCATGTTTCCTTTGGATTTTGTTTAATAAAAGGGACTATTGTGAAGTTTCCATCGTCGTGTGCTTTGTTTAAGCCACACACCTCGTGAAGGAACCAGGAACAGATTATGAACAGAGCAGGCCGTTCGTCTGCCCTGTTTGGAGGAAGGGAATAATAATCTCGAAGACCACACCAGTGACTTTCTAGACCTGGCATACCAATTTCCCTGACTATTTTTCGAACAAGCCTAAATGAGTGGTGTAAGGCACGACTACCTGGTGTTGGTCCTCGAGGGATTTTCGCTTCGTTTGTGGAGTGGTTGCTGGTAAACAATGGATCGGTTTGCACCATTTGCCCCGAGGAGTACGTCACCAGTCCCTCTCTGAGCGGAGCGAACTCCTGAGCGAGCCAGATGGAAAGACTGAGCCAACCATCGGCCCAGAACCTGAACATTGAACACTGCAACGAGTCTGACCAGTTGCCGTCCCCCTGTGGCTGCTCACGGTGTACGAGGGAATGGAGGAAAGCCATTTTAATGTGTTTAACTAGGAATTAAATAATGTAAAATGCTTAAACAGGAGTCTGACTGCATGTTTCTGTTGTATTTTCCTTAATAAAAAGAACTATTGTGAACTCTCTGTTGTCGTGTGCTTTGTTAAAGCCATACACCTCGTGACTTCGAATATTGCAATTAGATATTTTTCCTCCAAATTGTGCAGCCTCCTCAAAAGCAATCCCGCCATTAGTGAAATTTTCCGCAAAGCTTTTTTGATAGAATTTTCCAGCAATCCACGTTTTCAAAGTTACATGGTAGGGGGCGCTATTATGCATCTTCAGAAAGAGTACACAATCTCCGCATCAAAACACAGGCGAAGAAGCAGCAGAAACAAGTGATAGAAGCATTGCGTAAAATAACACGATCATCAAATATTAAACGGCGTATAAATCAAAACTAATGTTACTGAATGAAGTGTCGACCCAAGACTGTGAAGCTTTGGGGGTGTTAATTGACTCGATCTACTCCATCTGTTTTTTTATGTTTTTTTTTCATGAACCTACCCACATTCAAGTGTAAAAAAATTGCACGAGGAATTATTTTTTGTTTGTTTGCTTGATTAAAGGAGAACTCCGGTCAATTTTAACATTTGAGCTCATTTTTTTTTGTACATTTGGAGTGCCGTCAGTACAGACAAAAACGATTTTCCTGTTTTCGGTCAAAGTCCTAGTCGATTGTCGCCCGAACTCAACTGAAAACAGGAAGTAAATAGAGGTATGTGAGCTGGCTGAATTAACATCATTTTTATTAATATCTTTCACTAGAACCAGACCGATTTATCGGCAGACCGATATTATCGGCCGATATTAGGCATTTTTCAAACTATCGGTATCGGCAGTTATAATGGCCGATAAATGAATATTTCAAAAATAAAATAAAAACGGACGAAACACGCTTGAACCATGTCATGAGTGTTGGAGTTGTATAGTTTGTCCACCAGAGGGCACTCTACACCGTCCCTGTTGGCAACACTCGTTGAGTTGGTCACGAGACATGCACTGCTTGAATAACAATTAAAAGAACATCCCCATCGGTTCTCTTAACTCAAATAAGCATGACAAAATTTGTGACTATCCAGTCCAGTTTAAAAAAAGTAAAAAAAATATCGGCCAATATATCGGAATATCGGATTTTAAAACCCAAAAATATTTGTATCGGTATCGGCCTTCAAAATCCTTTGTCGGTCGGGCTCAATCTTTCACATCTACTGCAGTCAGATTGACCGTGGTCACTCTTAATAACACCCCTCACATGGCTGTGCACTCGTAATGACAAATCAAGGATGTTAAGAGGCTAAACGCAGGTTTAGAATATGCCCCATTGAAGTCAACAGGGTGCGAATTTTAAAAAGAGGATAACACGGTGTAGGCAACACCGATTTTTGTCGTTTTTGTCTGTACTGACAGCACTCCAAATGTACAATGTTAAAATTGACTGGAGTTCTTTTTTCTTTTAAAATGAAATGTTTAGTTCTTTCTTTTGATATATTGCATGTTTAGATGTTCATACAACAAAATATACTGGGAATGATGTAAGTTTTGTGAAAATTTACTGTTGAAAACCATGAAACATTCAATAAGACGAAGGATGCATTATGTACAGGAGTATCCTGAAACAATGCAGAAATGGCTGTTTGGCTATTGGTTCATCTGCCTGTGTATTCTATTCTTGGTGATGTCTATTAGATGTACGGATGCACGATATATCGGCCACCATATCGGTATCGGACGATATTTGTTCATTTTAATGTTATCGTTATCGGCCCGATAATAAAATTTGGCTGATATATTGAAGCTGATAAATAATTAATTATTTCCTTCAACACTTGACGCCTGAGACACTTAAGATGCACACTGTTCAACATGATTGGTCTTAATTGCTTGAAATATGATTGGAATCAAAAAGGAAAATATAGTTAAATATGCTGTCACATCGGCTACATGAAATTATAATGAGAACATTATAATTGTGTTAGGGAACGGGTTTTAATTGTGAGACTTGCAATCAGACTTTCAAAAATTATATATCGGCCGATATATCGGTTATCGGCTTTCAAATATAAAAAATATCATTATCGGTATAGGCCAAAATGTTCATATCGGTGCATTTCTAATTAGATGTTTTATTTAATTTTTTTTTTTCTCTTTTTGGTAGATTGTTGTAGATTAGTAGCTGACTTCAGTTGAGCGTAGTTTGTTTGATGATATCACCAGCGGTGTTTGAAGATTTCTGTCCTGTGAGGCTTTAAAGTACATGCTGTTCCCTTTAGAGGGGCTAATCCGGCTGGCTTTTTCTGCCTCTCTTGGTTTTAAAAGATTTTAGAGTCTGCCTTTGCTTACACACACGTATAAACAGACACACACTCTGCATGCTCAGAACACTCGGCCTGGATGTCGGCAGAATACGCCACAGTACTCGTCACCAATGGCAACGGCCCATATAATAGGCTGTTGTCTCAGCTGGCTGCGGGCAGCACACACTTTATTGTTGTCTGGCCTGTATTAAAATGTGTTTTATTAGAGTGGTCATTGGCACATGTCACAGTGTGTAATTGCACGTGGGGTCAAGTAGATTTGATTAAGGCAAGACATTACAAACCACTGTTTTTATGGTCAGGTTTGATATTTTGGGCTATTTTGCTTCCATAACATGTCATATTTCAGACTAGTGAAAAGAATATACACATTTAAGTGTTTATAGTATTACACTTTATCTATTTGCTTCTGTAGATTTCAGTTTGCATTTTTTTCCCATTCGCCTGATTATGTTTCAAATATGGTTAAAAATTTGGGTGGTTTTTTTTTTTTCGTCTGTTGACAGTATTTTTTTATTCATGTGATTAAAAGGGATAAAAAGAAATATCCAAAAACCCCTTAACCCCTAAAGATTATGTAAACAAAATTAAACATATCTTAATTAATGCATATCTAATTCGATAATGTCTCATTTTCACATTTAAACACACTATGAAATCAAAATGGACAATTGTTGTTTATGGAATATTTTTTATAAAATAAGTTATCAAAATAACTTCCCGTCCCTCTTGCAGCGACACGTCTTATCTTCTCTGATGATGTGTTTATTGGTGTGAGGGACACCCTGTCACTCACATGACATCGGCCAATAGCAAACCACGACCGTCCAATCAATTCCCCACAGACAAAATCAAGTCCTGCCTCACAGTTTTGGATATACAAAACATATCATAACTTGCGTTTTTAATGACTTTAAACAAACAGTAGTAAATGTACTGATTTATCAGGTGGGGAACGTATGATGACGTCTCTTAGTCCCCTGTAGTGTCATGCCTTAAACAGTCTTGTAAACTATTTTGGCAGTAATTTGTTAAGCAAAAACACATGACTTTGAACGTCTGTAAGCAATTCTGGTCTTCATCAGCTGTCTGTGTTTAATGCCGCGTGCAGCACGAGACTGGAGAGTTTTTTACCTTTGGAATTATTGGACATTATGTGTTGCGTGGTTTCAGGAGTCTGACTGGTTTCCTTCCTCTGTTTTTTTTTTTTTTTTTTTTCTGCTGATGATATTTGATCTTGCCCAATACATGCTGACAAACATGTCTTCTTTCATTTCCTGCCATAATTGTTTTGCATTGTCACATCTTTCCATGAAAATGTGCTGAATGCAACGAATGCATTTTTTTAAAAAACCAAACAAACTGGAAGTTAAACACCTGATCTGCTGACGTTTCTCCCAGGATGCTTTTGAAACGGCAGCGAGAGCTGAGGGTGGCCTCTCATTGGATGGCGGCAATGCAGCTGACGCGAAAGAGTTGGAGGACGAAGTCGGGAGAAGCAAATACCACCACAGTGTCGGTGTGCTCAAGCCCATCCGCTCCACCAGCAAGTACGTACTAAAGTTACTGATTATTGTGCCTTTCATTTCGGTAAGCAAACAATGAAAGGCAACACTGTTCGTTTGTAAATGCTTTTGAAGGTCAGTCTCTCAAATGTTAAAAGCTCAGGAAGCCTGAGAAGGGGATGCCAATAGAAGTTAGAGCTACATAAAGACACCACATAAATCATAGTTTTAAAAAATGTAATACAAATGTAAACACATGATATCCTTGCACCACACCTTATTAATCACTATCAAAAAGTGTTGATGTACCAAGAAAACTAATTGTTAAAATCTTATCTTATTTTTTTGGGGTGTTCCGGTTTCAGAATTGGTGATAACGGTTATGAAGTGAGTCAAATGTGATGGTTCGTAACGTAACCGTCGTCGGGGGAGGGGTCGGGGCGACGTTTGTCTGTTATAGAGCATCACAGTCCCGCCCACAGTCCGAGAGAGCGTTGGTGCCAGAAGTAAATTTCCCATTCGTTTCTCCCATTGACATTTTGTAAAATCCATATGTAAAGAGTTTTAGAGCATGTCTGAGGAAAACCAGTTACGGCTGAACTCATAAGCATACAACATATCATTTCGAGTGATACGAAGAGAAAATCCAAAAAAAGTCAAGGGTACAAGCCTGTGTATTTTCAATTTTGATATTTTTAGGTCAAACCGTTCTTGTCTGTCAGTCATATAATGGAGGTCTATGGTCACCACCTGAAAGAGCATGCACAGAGAAGTCCAAATTAAACATGATTTAATGACTCGTAAATGTAAGTACACATTGATGGCCTAAGACCCGAAACGAGCGGTTTGTGTGAGAAAACCAACAGTATTTATATTTTTACCTCTTGTAACCACAGCCACGTCCAAGTGATATGAGGGCGAGGGCGCTTTGGTCTATAACCGTCACACCCCTACTTATTTATAAAATATAAAAAAGTTTAGACAGGGCCAATATGAGGGCAAAAACAACTGAACTGAACAACTGTAAAAGAGAGAGAAATAGAAAATTTACTTTTTGATTCTCGAGTGCAAATCACCATTGCGGTTTAATGCAAGTTACACTGATTCATGATCCACAATAAGACAACACAGGAGATGAGAGAGCACAGTATAGACTTCTTTGCTGAATTTAAACTAAAGCAGCATTTGGGTAAAAAAAAAACTCTCGGTGTCACGGTGCAGTGATTAAGTTTAAATACAGTTTCACGAGAATAGATTGTGTATACTGTATATACACTGTGTCGCTGAGAAAGGCACGTAGGACTCACACTGGGTGGCCCTAATACAATTGGTAATAAAAAGAAGTGCAGATTAGGGACTAATCCATGTCTCTTGTCTGTTTCTCATTGTCATCACAGGTATCAACATCCAGTGGACAACGCCGGCCTCTTCTCTTTTATGACATTTAATTGGTTGACCTCGTTGGCTATGTTGGCCCATAAGAAGGGTCAGCTGTTTTTGGAGGATATATGGGCTGTGTCACAGTTCGAGAGTTGTGAGACCAATCGTCGCAGGTGAGTACTGATACGGCAGCCTCCTCATTTAGTGGTACCAAAGTGGTTATACAGTAGGGCTGGGTATTTGATTCAATATGAAGTACATTAAACATAAAGCTGTAAACTATACAGGGGACCCTGTCAGTTGATGCATATCTAAGATTAAAATGAACAACAGAGTCCTAATTATTAAGTTCAGTTGCTATGTATTCAATTGTGAGCTGTAAACAAAGATTTCACATAACAATTAGGATTTTTTTCCCCACATGATTTTCTGTCATAGAAACTTGTTTTCCTGACAGATTTATTCAGATAAGCATTCAATAATCAAAACACCACCAAGAAGTTAAAGGAGTAGTTCACTTTAAAAAACACTTTTGCTGATAATTTACTCACCCCCATGTCAGCCAAGATGTCCATGTCTTTCTTTCTTCTGTCGAAAAGAAATTAAGGTTTTTGATGAAAAAATTCCAGGATTTTCTCCATATAATGGACTTCAATGGGAACCAAACGGTTCAAGGTCCAAAAGACAGTTTCAGTGCAAACTGCGACCATTTGAGCTTATAAAACTTAAAACTTTGTTATTTATTTATTAAATGAGCGATCGTTTTGCTTGATAAGACCCTTATTCATCATCTGGAATCACCTTTGAACAGTTTGCAGTTTGCACTGAAACGGTCTTTTGGACCTTGAACCGTTTGGTTCCCATTGAAGTCCATTATATGGAGAAAAATGGAGAATGTTTTCATCAAAAACCTTAATTTCTTTTCGACTGAAGAAAGAAAGACATGGACATCTAGGAGTTTTTTTTTTTAAAAAGTGAACTACTCCTTTAAGTACAAATATAATGAATATGTAACGTAGTGCATTTATTTAGCAAAATGCTCCCCTCTAGAGTTATTTTTTTAATTGACTAATGAGCTTTTCCTGGGGTAAATGCAACATTGTTTATTAACTTTTTTTTTACTGATGTCTTCAACTTCAACTCTCAAATCAAATGGTTTTGCAGTGGTACTTCTTAACACTTTCGTTAGTGCTAAATGGACCTGGAGACAGGCTTGATTGGTAGATGCATTACATATGAACCCCTTCATTTCCACAGGCTGGCCGGGTTGTGGGATGAAGAAATCAGGACACGAGGGGAGGGGGCGTCTCTTCGTCGTGTGGTCTGGCATTTTTGCCGCACGCGTCTCCTGCTGTCCATCCTCTGCCTTATGGTTACTCAACTCGCAGGCTTCAGTGGCCCAGTAAGTAACACCATCTAAGCTCTGTTGTGTCTTTCTGGTGTCTTTCTTCTCCCTCTGTCTATCTCTCCCACTCTTGCTCTATCTTTCTCCATCTGTCTATCTGTGTATTATTAGCTTTGTAGATCCACCTATCAAATACCTGCCCCTCTCAAATGCTCAGGTGAGTGTTCAGATGGGGAATTGAAGGTGTTACTGTGTTACATTGTCACTGGGTATCAGAACTGATCTGCTTGACATCAGTGATGTTTCCAGTGTGGCTCCTAAAACCATTTTATCAATTAATTTAACAATCAATGCTATTTATAAAGTGCCTTAATGATGACTTGTGCCAACACCAAAAGAGTATTACAACTTTTCCGCTCCTTTTTACCATATATTTAGACTTTCTCGTCATAAAACTTTAATAATTGAGATGTTACCATGTAATATTATGCAAGTATGTCATTTCTATGCCACTAACGGCACCAAATGGACCTGCAAATCTTTTTGAGCAGCCCAGCCGGATGTAATGACATCATCCAATAGAGTTCAACAGTCGGTAGAAACAATAACTTAGACAGACCTACTGTGAGCTCTGATTGTATATGCTATTTAGCCATCCGTTCGCATTATTATTATACGTCTTAAAATGAACGTCTTAATTTGTGGTGAAAAACTACATTACCCATGATGCTGTACAGAACATTCCACCAATCAGAGAGTTTCGGTGAGTCAATTGCGCAAGAAACGCATCAAATGATGTAATCGAGTCGATCAATAACTATAATCAATAACTTTAAATGATTCCTTTTTAAATTTGATTGTCATTGGCAGTGCTTCATGGTTGCTCTTTCCCCTACTAAAGGCCGTACACACCGGGACGAATATCAGCGTGCGTTATTCGTCAGTGTTTTTCAACGCGTTTTTTGTGTTCACACCCAAGCGATTTTCTCTGACGATGAGCCGAGTAAACATGTAAATTCATTCCCTGACATTAGATGGCGCCAATTTGCTCTGCAATACCACTCCATATCAGTTTTCTTTTCTCAAGATGTTTGTAGTCGCTGTCGCGTTTGTCATATAGTTCTTTATGTTCTTGCACCAACGAGATTAGCAGCTCTACATTCATCTTGCCTCGCATCTTCCTCGTCTAATTTCTTCCTGGCAGTGTAGACGGCGACGCTACTTGCCGTATATCTTCTTCGCCGTTGCATATGTGTGCTCGGCAAGACCGTTTTGTGTTTGAGCGCCCCCAAGTTGTGTTTTACTGTAACTTTAGAAGCTCCAAACACGTGAGCAAAAGCGCCAATCTCATTGGTCGGATAGTTTTTGACGCAGCACGTCAAACTAAATAAACGAACCTGAGGCGTTTTTTTTTTTTAAATGACGCTTTTACGCGAGGCGTTTTACACGTCGGTGTGCACACAAGTTTGTTTAGTCACAAGGCGTTAAACGTCGGCGAATAACGTGCGCGAAATTTGTCCCGGTGTGAACAGGCCTTAAAGCTTTAAAGTTTACAGTCTTGTAACTTACTGTTGTATATCATCTCATAGCTGGTTGTTTCGGGTCATGGTGTATAACCCTTTAACAAAAATGTTTTCAAAAATCCCTTTGGATGAAATGAATGGAAAAATACTTTCGGAACAAACAGTATTAGGTGGGCGGGAGTAAAGTATTTTTCAGTTCTGCTTGGTGCTGCCAGTTGTGTAGAAGTGACACACTTCACCTTTAATCAAGTCTAATAGCTAAGGCCAAATGATATTAATCTGAACCTTCCTGAAATTTTTGTAGTTCACTTTAAAAAAAAACGTTTGCTGATAATTTACTCACCCTCATGTCATTCAAGATGTCCACGTCTTTCTTTCTTCAGTCGAAAAGAAATGAAGGTTTTTGATAAACATTCCAGGATTTTCTCCATATAATGGACTTCAATGGGAACCAAACGGTTCAGGGTCCAAATGAGAGTTTCAGTGCAGCTTCAAAGGGCTTTAAACGACACCAGACGATGAATAAGGGTCTTATCAAGCTAAAAGATTGGTCATTTTATAAGCACAAATGCTCGCCTTGCTCGACTCGGACTTGAACTCGAACTCCTTCTCAAAAATGAACTAATCTTTTTTCAAGTCATTTGGTTCATTCAACGAAATGACTCGAAAAAAGATTTGTTCATTTTGATGAACGAGTTTGAACAGGAGAGTCACGAACGCGCATCACAGAACAGAGCAAGGCGAGCATTTGAGCTTATAAAACTTAAACTTTGTTATTTATTTTTGAAATGACCGTTCGTTTCGCTATATAAGACCCTTATTTTTCGTCTGGAATCATTTAAAGCCCTTTGAAGCTGCACTGAAACTCTCATTTGGACCATTTGGTTCCCATTGAAGTGCATTATATGGAGAAAAATCCTGGAATGTTTTTATCAAAAACCTTTCATCAAAAGTCATGGACATCTTGGATGACATGGGGGTGAGTAAATTATCAGCAAAAGAAAGTGAAAGATAAATGACTCAAAGCTTTTCACTTCCAAAAACAACAACAATTTGGATTACACCTGTTAAAAAAAACTGCTGCTCGATGCCTGTGAAAGTTTCTGTTTGTCTGTTGCCTTCCAGGTACCAGGTGTTTTATATATGTGGTGTTATCATCATCGGGTAGATAATAAGGAAAGTATCTGTTCCTATGGCCCGCTATGAAATGATAGATTTGGGGTATAACTTAAGTCGAGGGGCATTGCATGTAGTCTAGCGTAGAGAGGATAGGCTAACATATTCTTCAAGGAGAGCTTCTGTCACTGTCCCACCAAGGGCGACACAGCAAGGCTCTGTCTCCTTCAATCTTTCGGAGAAAATCGGGTCTATCAAAATGCTTGGATTTCAATCTGTTTAATCATCCACTGACTTTTTCTCCCTGTCGTCTATATTTAGCAACTTCTCCTTGAAGAGATACCTGTCCTTGCTCTGATGACTGAGGTCAGGGGTGGTTTGTAAAGGAAGGTGGGTGTCTGTGGGAGTGGGTGGGGGGGTTCAGATTGGAGTTAGGGGTCAGAGGTCGCTGGGTCCCCATGTGTGTGACATGTGACAGAGGCTATTCTTTAGACTCCACAGGGTGTCCATTTAACGTGCGGGGCGAGCATACGGCAGGCAGAGCCGGTGAGGATTCCTGGGAGGTAAGGGCATGTTTCTTATGCAGGGCTGGATCAAGAGTTAATGCTGTTTGCTGCCCTTCTCTCTCTTTCTTTCCGTTTCCCCTCTCTCATTTGATCTCTGTAATTATTCGCATCTCATGTCGTGTTTTGAAATGATTCAGCGAACTGAATGTGTTAAGGTTGGGGAACTGGTTGTCAAACTGTGCAATGTGTGTCCGATGACGAACGCGGGCAAGATTTTGCGCCAATGGACATTTGATTCAGACTCCTCCAGATATCTGTCCCATACGCCAGCTCTTTGGCCCAACGGAAAACGGACTTGTGGGTTGTTGTTTTTTTTTTGTTTTTTTTAATGTCGCTGGGGTTTCTTGTTTTGGACTGAAACGCTCTCAACTTTGAGAGATCCATACAGGCAGTTTTTTGTCCTCAATGTGTTGCTGGATTTTTGACCAATTTCACGGACACCTTTTCGGGCGACTATGTGGTGTAGATGGGTCTCGTAAGATGTGCGTCATTCAGGGCCCCGCTAACCTTGATTTAAGAGTAAATGGGACAGCTTTTAAGTGATGACAACTCGCGAATGGACTCTCAAAGAACTAGATGTGTGATTTTTCTTTTGGCATTATGTCTGAAATCATACTTTTCTGAAACAATGTCTTTTGTTTTTTCCTCTCACAAGTATTGATTTGCCTGATCCATGTTTTGTTTTTGTTGTTGTTTTTTGATCTTTGTAAACCTTTAACTGCTGAATGTTTCAACTTTCAAGGTTAAATATTCAAGGTTTCATTAATAAAAGCAACCACATGGGTTTGCCCGTATTCCCAGTTTATGTGTGCATATCCTTGACTGCGTATGTGCATGATATTTTGAGAACAGTGTGTGTGCGACTGCGTGTGTGTGTGTGTGTGTGTGTTATGAACTGTGTCAGCTGTTAAAAGTCTTCAGTGTTTTGTGCTTCCGCACTCTCTGCTACTAATGATTGATATAATTGATATTAATTTTCAGGTGTTAAAACAAAAGTACGTCTCCATCCTGTACCCCCAACCTGATGTGACTGTAGGTAAAAAGTCTTTGAATCCACAAACAAGGGGCATTATGTCCATGATTCACTTTGCTAAATGGTATTGTCTCTGTTCTTTTCCAAAGGCTAGAGAAAAGGGCCAAATAAGGTAAACTATTAGAACACAGGTCCAGTGTTTTATGATGATGTCCCCGTACACACGTAGCATACAATCAATGATCACCTTTTTCTGCCGAATGACATGTAATAGCAGAATGATGTTTTTTGTGATGAGGAAGGTCATAAAATGCTGTTTGAGTGTAATCATCGCAGTGGTGTGGTGCAATCGTATGTTCGTATCCTCAGTCACGCCTGCTGTGTCCTGTCGCCCCCTTGCTCGTCCTCCCTCTCCCCAGGCGTTTGTGGTGAGGCGGTTACTGGAGTACACGCAGAAGAGCGAACCCGACCTGCCCTACGGCCTGCTGTTGGTGCTGGGCCTCTTGGCCACCGAGCTGATTCGCTCCTGGTCCCTCGCCCTCACCTGGGGGCTGAACTACCGCACCGGCACCCGTCTGCGCGGAGCCGTCCTGACCATGGCCTTCCACAAGATACTGCGTCTGCGCAGCCTCCGGGAGAAGAGCATGGGACAGGTACGGTGTTGAGGGACAGACGAGGAGTTTTTTCGCATTAATGAGTTGGACATTGAGGAAGGTTAGGAGCAGATATCCTAGGGTGTTGAATGGTGAAGAGATGAAGAGTGAAAGAAAAAGAAGGTGATGGCCGCAAATATATTTCACGGTGGTATGCGTCGCACATCTTGCCAATGCTCGTGTCGCTTTTCTCTTCAGTTGATCAATATGTGCTCGAGTGACGGGCAGCGCATGTATGAAGCCGCCGTGGTGGGCAGCCTGTTGGCTGGAGGCCCCCTGGTGGCCGTGCTGGGAATGGGATACAACTTGTCTGTGTTGGGGCCGACTTCTCTGCTGGGGTCTGCCGTTTTCATCCTCTTCTACCCGACCATGGTGAGGTTTTCGGTCCCTGCTTTGTCTCGTTTCTACCACCGGGAGTTGCCGTCGTAATGCCGCTGTTTTTCCTGTGCCGGTAGATGTTCAGCTCCAGGCTGACGGCATACTTCAGGAGGAAGGGTGTCGCCGTGACCGACCAGCGTGTTCAAAAGATGAATGAGATTCTGAACTACATCAAGTTCATTAAGATGTACGCCTGGGTTAAGGCGTTCTCACAAGCTGTACGAAGTAAGTTGTTGTTTTTTTGGCTTAGTGTTACATTTAAAATCATTGATATACCATTAAAGTTTTTATGTATATTTTGAATTATGCTTGTTTTAATATTCTCTGTTTTAATTCTAGTAATTATCTTGTGTTTTTCTCATTTTTATTTGTGTTTTAAATATTTATAAATAAAGGCTGTCAAACGATTAATCGCGATTAATCGCATCCAAAATAAAAGTTTGTGTTTACATAGTATATGTGGGTGCACTGTGTATAATTATTTTGTGTATATATATATAAATACACACACATGCATGTATATTTAAGAAAAGAATATTATTTATATAAAATGTTTATATATAAATCTATATACATGAAAATATTTCTTAAATATATACAAGCATGTGTGTGTGTTTATATATATAAAATGATTATACACAGTGCATCCACATATATTATGTAAACACAAACTTTTATTTTGTATGCGATTAATCGCGATTAATCATTTGACAGCCCTATTTAAAATATGTCTATATATTTTAGTATCATTGATTTGATTTTTTTTTTTTTTTACTTGCGTTTGGTTATAGTATTTTGTTAGTATTTTTTATTTTTTTATTTCTATTTACATTTTAATTTGTTAAAAGCAGTTTTTATAAAATTGTAGTTTTAGTTATTTTAGTACTACAAAAATGAGAAAATGATGTACACTAGTTTTTGTATATTTTTATTTAATTTAATGTTTGTTTTATTTCAAGTTTTTTGTTTTAGTTAACGGTGATAACCCTGGTTTGACTTATTTCTATGCATACGTTTTCGCTAATAATTGCGCACCATCAAACAGGAATTAGAGAGGAGGAGCGTCAGATCTTGGAAAAAACAGGATATTTTCAGAGCATCACAGTTGGCGTGGCACCTATCGTCGTTGTGATTGCCAGTGTGGCGACGTTCTCCACCCACATGTTGCTAGGCTATGACCTTACCGCTGCACAGGTGGGGTTACAGTCCTTGTTTTGGAGTTTAATAATTACCAGAGTATTAATGAACTCATGCATTGACTCTTTACTTCTTCTTTTTTTGTCTAGGCATTTACTGTCGTCACTGTTTTCAATTCCATGACCTTTGCACTGAAGGTCACCCCATTTTCTGTCAAATCTCTCTCGGAGGCATCTGTCGCCATTGATAGGTTCAAGGTAAGCTTTCTGTACCTCTTTCTACAAATAGTCACTTTCACCTCTGTCAAGATTTTCTCTGTCCTTTTAGTGTGTGTTTTGCCTAGTGTTATCAAGGCACACACTGTAAATCCAGGTGTTGGAGCAGGTGGTATGGTTCAGGTGTGTTTGATTTGGTCCAAATAGATGATCTTGGGGATTTGGCTGAATAAGATAGGAATGGGGCTGTTCTTCTCAGAATAATGCCACATTGAAAAGCTCCAGTTGCCACCCAGCTCACCCTCATTACACAGATTATATATTTGGGTAACACTTTACTTGAAGGGGTGTGCGTAAAACTAAAGGCCCTTTCACACCGGATGCGTAACGGAAAAGCGAAACGAAAAAGCGAATAGTTCGCGTGAGAATATTTCGCGTCAAAACCATTCACATCAGCCGCGACGCGAATTTGCGACGTTCAGAACTTCAACATTCCAAAACATTCGCGCCGATGAAAAGCAGACCTGATTTTCATCAGAAAACGTAGGCTACTCTATACTTATTATTATAGCCTAAAGGTGAATAAATATAGATTTTATATTAGATGTCTTTTTGAAGTGATGTTAACATGATGCTTTAATAGGCTTAATAAAAAAATAAAAAAATCCCAATCTCTAAATAGCACATTTTCAAATAAGCACATAAGTCCATTAGGAAAGATAAAGATGAATGCGTTCTTACCGGATTCGATCAGTGCATTTTGAATTTATATTGTTTGTCTGATGCTCTGGCAGCTTCGATTGGACCTTCTTTTTAATTATGTGCATGTCAGTAACTCGCAGTAACTACTGGCAGGTGGAGCTCACTTTCACCAGTTCACTTTAGGTCCACAGTTGCCTGGTTCCTTGTCCACGCAGCATTCATCAGAGCAAACACTCTCACCACGAAGAGTTTGTTTGTTTGTGATGGCTCCATTAACGTCTGTGCTGTGCATTTTCTATGTTTTCTTATTACATTTTTTTAAATTGTAGAATTGTTATTTAAAGGACGATTAAATAAAAGGATGCAGACAAAAAAAATGCGGTACAGTGCTATGACTTGCGGGACGTGGCACATAGCTTCTTCATCACTATCATTATCATCCAGTGAAGACAAGCTTTTTATTTTATTTAAAAGCAGAAAAGAAGGTTTGGGGCACCCACTACCGGAGCTAGAAACATATGGCAGAAGGTGAGCTGTCCCATTCATCAGGGGCTACGTTTACATGCAATCAAATAAACACTTTTAGTAAACGTATTGAAGGCTCAAATGGACTGAAAAGCCTTGTAAACACCCGGTTGGGCTCGATACGAACGAACGAGCACAACGTCCCACCAGTCCTTGTTTCAGATATTCATTCACAGACTCGACACACAAGCAATCAGAAGGTCCGTCCGTCATTGCTGCGGTCACGTCACCTTTGTTTCCCTGTATATGATTGGCTGAAGCCTTTTCTTTCGCCTCAAAAATCGACATCGAAGCGAAAAAAATAAAAGTCGTTTTTTCGCCGCAGCAGATTCGTGTTCGGTGTGGAAGCACTCATTACACAAACAGCTGATCAAAAAATAAAACCATCGCGCGAATTATTCGCGCGTCAAAATCACGTTCAGTGTGAAAGGGCCTTAACTTGACTCCAGTGATTATGTATTTTTTTAAGGCCAACCTGGAAAGCATCACACTGGATTTTTCCATTGGCTTTTGGATTATTGCAGAAAATAAGCTCTCTGACCAACCGTTTATGTTTCTTACATGTGTTGTTCAATCATGATAATCTTCACAAATTAATTTTGAAGCTTAAATACAATCCCCAGAATTAAAAAGCCAAATTTAGTCAATGAACAAACTATTCCACAGTCTTGACTTCATCGTTAAGTCTCTTTTAGTCTTTTTTTAAGAAACATTTTCCCTGAAAGTTTGATTTGGAATAGATTGAAAGTGGCTTCTGATTGAGAGTGGACTAGAGAGTAGATGAGTTTGGACGTGCATGCTTTAGCTTTACATTGCTTTGATTGCATTCAGAAACATTGTTGCGAGTGAAATTGCCTGAAGGGTGAAGAAAATTACATGGATACTGAAATATACAGACATTATTTAAGAAACCTCAGTTTAATTAAATAGTTCAAAAGAAACAAGAAAGACAAACAGGCTCTGTGTTCTGTATTATATTTTGCACCTGTAAGTGTTATAAATGGAGTCCTCCATTTTCCTCCAGAGTTTGCTCCTGATGGCCGAGGTCAAGATGATCCGTGAGCAGCCAAGCAATCCCTCCGTTGCAGTAGAGATGACTGGTGCCAGCTTGGCTTGGGAAACGGGGGGTCACAGCGCCCAGCCTTCACCCCGTGGTACACCCTATATAGGCCTCGGAATGAGAGGGTGTCGCAAGAAGCGTCGTCAGCGGGATGACCCGAAACATCATGTGATTTTGGAAGAGGAAACGCATGGCCAGCTGTTGCATGATGTGTCTGGAGACATGGCGTCCAGTCCTGAAGATCACACCCTTCAAGTGCCGACCATCAGCCAACGGCTGCAAAGAACTCTTCACTGCATCGATCTCACTATACAAAAGGTCTTTGCCTTTCTTAAAGTTGGTCGATTTATAATGGTCGAGATGACAAGGAATAATAATCATTCATGTGTTTGAATCTTTAGGGGAAGCTGGTCGGTGTGTGTGGCAGTGTGGGAAGTGGCAAAACATCTCTCATCTCTGCCATTCTTGGCCAGGTGAGCGTTTATTGACTGATTTAAAGAGATGGTCCTCACTGCAAAACATGAAATCCACGGGGAGGAATCGGATCCAGATCCAACTCCTCCCACCTTACAAAAAACTAAACCTACCTAGTCCCCCGATCCCTAAACCCACCCCTAAACCTACCCAGCTCCACCTCCTGATCCCTAAACCCACCCCTAAACCTACCCAGCTCCACCTCCTGATCCCTAAACCCACCCCTAAACCTACCCAGCTCCACCTCCTGATCCCTAAACCCACCCCTAAACCTACCGCGCTCCACCCCGATCCCTAACCCCACCCCTAAACCTACCCAGCTCCACCCTGATCCCTAAACCCACCCCTAAACCTACCGCGCTCCACCCCCGATCCCTAACCCCACCCCTAAACCTACCCAGCTCCACCCCTGATCCCTAAACCCACCCTAAACCTACCGAGCTCCACCCCCGATCCCTAACCCCACCCCTAAACCTACCCAGCTCCACCCCTGATCCCTAAACCTACCCAGCTCCACCCCCGATCCCTAAACCCACCCCTAAACCTACCGAGCTCCACCCCCGATCCCTAACCCACCCCTAAACCTACCCAGCTCCACCCCTGATCCCTAAACCCACCCCTAAACCTACCGAGCTCCACCCCCGATCCCTAACCCCACCCCTAAACCTACCCAGCTCCACCCCCGATCCCTAAACCCACCCCTAAACCTACCCAGCTCCACCCCTCACATCTGGATCCGACTCCGCCCCCTGGATCTTGTGTACTGCAATGAGGTGTTACTGGATTTAAAGGGCAGCTGTCATTCATTGATCCATTAGATGTGTTTAGAAATCCTCAGATCCACTGTTGTGTGTGTATCCCAGATGACTCTTTTAGAGGGGACTGTTGCTGTAGATGGAGATTTCGCGTATGTGGCACAACAAGCCTGGATTCTCAATGCATCCTTTCGTGACAATATCCTGTTTGGCAAGGAAATGGAGGAAGAGAGGTAAGCACCAGTTCTTTTTCGTTCTTCGCTTAGGGGTAAAAATAAGTCGGAAACATCTTTGCAGCGCTCTACTGTCAGCGAACATCCCGAGACCGCACACACTGCTGAGAGCGCCGTTTGGATGACTATGTAAATATGTGATGTGCTCTTTCCTCCTAATAACAAAATGAACACGACTAAAATGACAGCTGTGAGAAAACAGCATTTTAAAGGGATACTCCACTTTTTTTGGAAATAAGCTCATTTTACTACTCCCCCAGAGTTAAACTGTTGAGTTTTACCGTTATTGAATCCATTCAGCCGATCTCCAGTTCTGGCGCTACCACTTTTAGCATAGCTTAGCATACATCATTGAAGTGCACAAGACCATTAGCATTTCTCAAAAAAAAATGACCAAAGAGTTTCGATATTTTTCCTATTTAAAACTTCTTAACTCTTCTATAGTTACATCTGACGGAAAATGTAAAGTTGCGATTTTCTAGGCTGATATGGCTAGGAACTATACTCTCATTCCTGCGTAATAATCAAGAAACTTTACTGCCGCCGTACCATGAGTGCAGCAGGCGTAATAATATGACGCACACATACGCGAAATCTCCATCAACAGCAACAGTCCCCTCTAAAAGAGTCATCTGGCACACATTTGAGAAATGCTAATGGTCTTGTCCACTTCAATGATGTATGCTAAGCTATGCTAAAAGTGGCACCGCCAGAACCGGAGATCGGCTGAATGGATTCAAAAACGATAAAGCTCAACAGTTTAACTCTGGGGGAGTTGTAAAATGAGCCTATTTCCAAAAAAAAAGTGGAGTATCCCTTTAAGAAAGCATAAAGCAGAAGAAATGAACCGGAGAACCTTTTCATGTCAAAGAAAAAACAAAGCCACACCTTTTACGTAATCACCACAGACCAATGGTATTCTGAAGGTGTTTGCCCCCCAAAGCAATCTTTTCTGGACAGTCTGCTTTGTCAAGCTGTTTTGAAACAAACAAACTTCGTTTTAGCCTGATTTGGTTTGAAATGATGCCACACCTGTTTGTTCGTCAACTTGGCTTGAAGTATCCCGGGCCCTTTTTTAACGAAACGCGTCAGTACATTTGGTTCGCCAGATGCCTGCACTACAGCAATGAATAATGTGTTTGAGTCAGCAGGAAGTACACTAGAGGGCTGAGCCAGTAAAAAGAGTCTGCAGGCGGTGCGTGACTCAGCACAGAGATAAAATGAGCACGGACAACCTTGAACACTTGTTCTTTGTCATTGAATAGCCTCCACACGCCTCCTGATGAAGTATAGTTTACGTATTATAGATGCAATGGCACCTTGCTTGATATTTTACCTGAAAACATGATCATATCTGATCGCCCTGTATCTCTGACATGTCTCCTGCAGGTATCAGGCTGTACTGAGTGCCTGCTGCTTGAGACCAGACTTGGCCATCCTCCCTCTTTCTGACCTGACTGAGGTAACACATCCTACAGAAAAACCAACAGTAGTAATGAGTAAGAATTAGGGATCGACCGATATGGATTAGCTTTCAGAGTAGAAACACAATTACACAATCACAAAATATATATAGAAATGTGCAATTTAAAGGTTTATATATTAATATTGATTATTAAATAAACTTTACTTTTGGTTTTCGGCTAACGAAAAACTTTAATTTCAGTTGTTTCTGTAAAAAAAGAACATTGGTGCATCACTAATCAGCAGAGATACCGATAGACCCGAGCTACAAATAGAATAATAATTTGATACAAGCACTAAATTCTCATTTACAATGAGCCTATAATCAGGGCCGATGTTTTATACGTGGTGTGATTCTCTGTCAGATTGGTGAACGTGGCGCCAACCTGAGCGGTGGTCAGCGTCAGCGGGTGAGCCTGGCGCGGGCTTTATACAGCAACCGGGACATTTATATTCTCGATGACCCTTTAAGTGCTCTGGATGCTCATGTCGGAAATCACATCTTTAACAACGCCATTAAGAAGCAGCTGCGGGGCAAGACCGTCATCTTTGTCACTCACCAGCTACAGGTACGGCACATTACAACCCTGTTATGTGAGATCTTTGAAAGCCACTGAAGTATTGGGCGTTTCTGTTATCAGTATCTGGTGGACTGTGATGACGTGATCGTCGTGCGGGACGGCAGCATCACTGAGCAAGGCAGCCATGAGGACCTGATGAATGTGAATGGAGACTACGCCGCCATGTTTAACACCCTTCAACTGGGAGAAACACACATCATTGAGGTCAGTATCTCTTTAGTCAGACTCTTCAGCCAAAAATTCAAACTTTATCATCATTTACTCACCTTCATGTTGTGACAAAGCTTTTGTCGCATGATGTGCAAGAACCAATAATGGTTGATGATAGTTGATTTGAGTTTCAAGGAATAAAGGCTTAAATTTCAGTCCGTTTATTATACTAAACAATCATGCTGCTTCAGATGATTCTGGATTAATTAATTTCACACTTTGTCATTTTTGGAGCTCAAAGGTCAAAGGTCGCTTAAGGCCCCGATATACTGACAGCAATGTTCTTCGCTTAGGGTGTCCACCAAAGCGTTTTTCCACGCGCCTGGTGTTTGTTTTCAATAGTTTTCAATGGGAGCGCCGCGTTTTTTTAAGCGCCATGAGCGTAACGAGGCGCTGAACGTTTTTTTCACGCTGAAGCGCCCAAAGTTTTTTACTGGTCGCCGAGAGTTGAAAAATGTTCAACTGTGGATAAAACTTGCTCATCACTGTCACTTTTCACCCAGCCGTCCAATCACAGTGGAGGAGGGGCGGGACTAATACCTCACCGACCAACTGTCACAACATTCTTTCTGTACAACGACATCAACCAGCAGAGCTAACCGAACAAAATGGGTGAAAAATTAATTTTTAGTATGAAACAAATTATCTGTGAAATCAGTTACAAGTAAACTGTGCTGCGGATATTCTGTATCATAGCAACGAAACGTCTCAACTAGTGCTGTCAGTTAAATGCGTTATTAATGCCGTTAACGCGAACCCATTTTAACAGCGTCAATTTTTGAAAAAAACAAAACAAAACAACTGGCACGCCGCACACACTTGTTTGGGCTTGCGAGCCGGCCAAATAGTTGATTAACGTTGCGTTTTGAGTGGATGACGAGCGCGAGACGCCGAAATGGATGTCAATAAGATTCTGAATGGAAACTTTACTTTACTAAAAAGTTGCCAAATGGTTCAATTGACAAGACCAAAGTGATCTGTGTGTTTTGTCGTTGTGAACTGAGCTATCATCATCGCAGCACATCCAGTCTGAAATACCACTTGATTGCCAAGCACACACACACACACACACACACAGATGATGCAAATTCTCCGCCCCCTCGTCAACATCAGGACCTCGTCAGTATTTCTTTCACCCTTTTATTGATGGAGTGTTACATTGTGTGAGAGATTATTTGCTCCAAGTGTGAGTGTTAGTGTGAAATTGAACACAGTATGGCAATGTTGTTTTTAATAAAAAAACATTTGCACAAAGCAAGCCGATCCACTTCTCCATGTTGATAAGAGCATTAAAATGAGAAAAAATAATGTGAGGAAAAGAAATCAAGAAACATTTAGAATAGATAAAAATGTGCACTTAATATATTAATCATTTGACAGCACTAGTCTCAACGGCTTTGGTGGACACACGGCCTTAGGGGTAAAATAAAGTTCGAAACACGTGACCAGCGAAATACTGTTAGCGAACATCCGTCGCCGCCCACTGTTGAGAGCGACGGTTAGATGAATATGTAAATATGTGTTCCTCTCAATAACAAAACAAACACAACACTATTTGCTTTGGCAAGCTGTTTTGAACTCCCAAAACGTACTGCAAATTAACTTCGTTTTGGCCTGATTTTGTTTGAAATTACGTCACAGCAGTTTGTTCTTCAATTTCGCTTGAAGTAGATCAGGCCTTTATACAGTATTTCATAAAATGGACAAAACATCTAAAACATTATTAAAATATCGTCTTTTGTAATCCACAAAGTAAAGAAAGTCATACTGACAGAAGTATCATTTTTGGGTTAAAGTTCATGTTTTATGTAAAACAGATGAAATAGGGAAGATGGTGAAATAGTTCGCAGACAGTTCACCAAAACCATCACCCTCATGTCGTTCCAAACCCGTGTGACTCGAAAAGGAGAAGTTTTAAATGTTTACGCGGCTCTTCTTCAACAGCAACATCAGTTCTTGCTCATTGCATGTCTCGATTCTGTGATTTTGTGTCACCTCAGGTTCCGAATAAGAAATCTGGGAGTTCCCTGAAGAAACCCTTAGAGAGCAAAAAAGCAGGATCTGTCAAAAAAGAGAAAACAGTCAATCAGGATGATGGTAAGTATGAGCATGTTAAACTGTAATTTATACTGTGCGCTACATCAGTGATTCTCAACTGGTTTGGCCATCGGATTAACATTTTCCGTAGGTTATTAAGCTGCGACCCAATTTTTTTATTCCTATAAAAAAAAATGGTAGTCCCAAACTACTTCGTTAATACAATAAAGTTAGTATGAAAGTTGGTATGAACCACCAAAGTCATTTAAAAAATATAGAAAATTGCACAAAAGTAAAAATAGTGGTATTTTGGGGTTACAGAAACAACAGTTACCATGATAAATACACAATCCTAACATGAACAGTTAATGGAAACTGCTCCTGATGAATACACTGAACATCATACCTGCATGCAAATTCTTCCCGGTGAATACAAAAGTGCCAGTTACCTAATTTAATTTCATTACTAATTGACAGCTTAGCCACGCCATTGCGTGCTTGTAATTTCTTTTGCGCTTTATTTATAATGAAGTGATGTGCAATGAGTGCACGTGCAATTGAAGAGCACAATAGGGTTTTTTTCCTGAGGTGAGACTTTTTTTCTTCTAACAGGTTACAAAAATAACATTTAAAATAATTACACTGAGATATAGCCTGACAACAACTCCTCTGACCGTAGATACTGAATCGGGACAACACGTTTTTATTAGGCACTCTTTACTTAAAGGAGTAGTTCACTTTAAAAAAAAAAAAAAAAACTTTTGCTGATAATTTACTCACCCCCATGTCATCCAAGATGTCCATGTCTTTCTTTCTTCACTCGAAAAGAAATTAGGGTTTTTGATTAAAACATTCCAGGATTTTTCTTCATATAATGCACTTCAATGGGAACCAAACGGTTCAAGGTCCAAAAGACAGTTTCAGTGCAAACTGTTCAAAGGGATTTAAACGAAACCAGACAATGAAACGTGACTAAACCCGTTCATCGAAATGAACAAATCTTTTTCTGCGTCATTTGGTTCATTCAGCGAACGAATTGACTCGGAAAAAGATTTATTCATTTTGATGAACGAGTTCGAACAGGAGAGTCACACAGAACACAGCAAGGCGAGCATTTGAGCTTATAAAACTTAAACTTTTTTATTTATTTTTTAAATGAGTGATCGTTTCGCTTGATAAGACCCTTATTCATCGTCTGGAATCGTTGGTTCCCATTGAAGTCCATTATATGGAGAAAAATCCTAGAATGTTTTCATCAAAAACCTTCATTTCTTTTCGACTGAAGAAAGAAAGACATGGACATCTTGGATGATATGGGGATGAGTAAATTATCAGCAAATGTTTTTTTTTAAAGTGAACTACTCCTTTAAATGGGTCTTGACAGAAGGGTTCACACACCTCTTTCAAAATAAAAGTCTCGCTTCAGAAAACATAGAACACGACCCAACAGTTGAGAAACACTGCTCTACATAACCTCACGTAACTGCAGACCTCACAGTTAGTCGTGCTTACCCTTTTGACCTTATGATTTACCTCACTCCTGCCTGTTTTCTTTCAGGTCAGCTGATGCAGGTGGAAGAGAGAGGGAAAGGCTCAGTGCCCTGTGAAGTGTACAAAGTGTACATCCAGGCTTTAGGAGGGTGGCTCGTCTTCCTCTTCATCCTGGCCCTCTTTATTGTCAATGTGGGCAGCATAGCCTTCAGCAACTGGTGGCTCAGCTACTGGATCAAACAGGGCAGCGGGGTAAGAGGCTTGATTTCCATGAGACAAGAGTAGAAGTGTTTAAATATTTGATGTGCTTGTGACCTTTACCGCTGGTTTGTGTCTTTCTTTTCTTTCTGGGGCTGTTACTGTTAGTGTGTCAAAGCTTTGGAAAGGACCAATCACAAATGACTAATTATATTTGTTTTGATCACAACTCGTGCACTGAATATTGATATTTAAATTTTTGATATTTTTTACTGGTTAGGTGTAATAAGCTTGATCTTTGCGTCATATTCATCATCGTATTTCTGTAATGAAATAAACATCAATTGACAATTCGTATTTTCCATTGAATGTAGCAGTGTTTACTGTATGATAATGTACTCTTGTAATCTTTAACATTAAATCTACACCAATGTGCAAACAAGGATTCCAGTCAGTTCCTGATGGGCAAAACCAAGTGCCGCCCTACTTTTTATTTTTGTCCTTGAAGCTGGGTCATTTGGATTTACGTAACAATAGGGAAGAAAACGTTTTCAAGCCGTCTTGAAAGCTTAAGACAATAAATATATGCCATATTGCGAATTCACATTAACATTAATATTGTATTAATGAGTCTTTGGGAATATGCACCCCTAAGTAGGCCACTGATTAATTTAATAACTATATAAATAGGTTCTGGACACAACGTTTCATTACAGAGTATCATCCTTTTAACATGTTTTAATGCAAAACCATTTTTGTGTACACTTATGTGTCTATAATTGCCTTATTGTTTGTTTTGCTCAACAGAACACCACAGTGCAGGTGGGGAACAGTTCAGTAGTGAGCGAGAGTATGCGAGATAACCCTCTGATGCACCACTACGCTGGTGTCTACACCATGTCTATGGGAATCATGCTCCTTCTCAAAATACTGAGAGGCACCGTGTTTGTCAAGGTGAGATTTTACATTTGTAGTTGGTTTAATAGCATCTATACCAAGCTGTCGGAGGGAGAGGTCCATGTTTCATTGGGATCTTCTTCTTTTTTAGGGTACTCTGCGTGCCTCCTCAAAGCTCCACGACGAACTTTTCCAGAAGATTCTTCGTAGTCCCATGAAGTTTTTTGACACGACGCCCACGGCTCGCATCCTCAACAGATTCTCCAAAGACATGGATGAAGGTGAGAACTGTTGGAGGGTTAGAATATATTATTATCTTCAAATGGGGTGTGCGAAATTGGATTTTCTCTGGATTTTCTGGGATTTTAAACTATAATTATATTTTGGTTAATGTGTTAGACCTGTTGTGTAGGGGTGATTTCGGACACATCCACTGATTTATTCAGGAACAAAACACCACTCTGTTTCCTGGAGACTCACAGCAGTTCTGTAACGCTTGGTTTGGAAATATTGTGGCTAAAATGTAACTCACAATATTAACTTTGTTTATTAAACTGTTATATAAAATCAATATCACATGTGGAGTCGTGCTGGTGATATTCAGGAAAATCAGCACGCTTGTGTGATAGTGCTAAACAATATCATATAGAAATGAGTGCCATCAAATCTATTAATTGTGATTAATCGCATCTAACATAAAAGTTTGTGTTTATATAATATATATATATGTATTAGGGATGGGACGATTACCGGTTGCACTATAAACCACGATAAAATGTACTGACGGTTAGTATTATCGTTTAAAATTTAATTATCATTAAAACAGTGTTTGATTATCGTGATTTTAAGAACTCACTATAAATCATGTCCACAGTCTGACGCAGGCGTGAAGCGCGTGAAGTTGGGGGGTTTTTTTCGAGAAGGAATTGTAGAAGGTGGTGACCGTGCTCGGGAGATTTTTCAGCCTTTTAAGAGGTGTGGACATATTTTGGTCATATTGTATAGACCATTTTGCAAGATGTAAACAACACTGGTCCAGAAACACTTCCTGTTTCAGTATGTAACTGTTTTCTTTATTTCACTTGTAAAGAAAACATCTTAAAGATGTTTGTTTAACTTTTTGATTCAGTTTTAAATGTTCTGTTGGTTGTATTTTATCCCAGCTTTTATGTAGTGTTAAAAAACTGAAACAGGAAGTGCTTCTGGACCAGTGTTGTTTACATCTTGTGAAATGGTCTATAGTGAACGCAAGGCAAGTGAACTTCAACCCCAATAGCAAAACGAACAGGTTTAATTAATAGTGACGTTTAAGAGATAATAATGTATATATTTATTGTACACTTATTATATACATTTTTTTACCACATAATTACGGGGAATTGAGATTAATGTTTTAAATCTTACCTGTTAAATCGACATATAAAACTTGTCCAGACAAGATGATCACAATAATATTATTAAACTATAAAATATTATATTATTTAATAAAATATTATATTATTAAACTCTGTAAAGAATAAATCACCTCTGGTTTTCAATACAATCAAAAACGAAGACGCAAGAGTCAAGACGGTAAGTTGTATTTGACTGAAACGAGAGCGCGTGATACATGGTTGTTGCCGTTGACGACGGTCATTATAGTTGTTAAGTTCTTTTTGAACACTTTCATTTCGTTTAAACTAAACCGTGATAATATTGATAATCACGATAATTTTGGTCACTATAATCGTGATATGAAATTTTCATTCGTCCCATCCCTAATATATATATATGTGCGTATCTGTGTGTGTTTGTATGTACTGTATATTATGTACACACACACATTTGACATTTGGTTTAAAATGTAATCATTTGTGATTAAATATTAAATAAACACAAATTTTTATGTTAGATGAGATTAATCACGATTCATCGATTTGACAGCACTAATAGAAATATAAGGCATAAGAATTTTGAATTTTGGGGGCATTTTACATCATGCAATGAAAGCTGGCCGGTTTTTGTTTGTGAGTGACACATCATTAGAACAAATATTACAATACTATTGTAGATGATACATATAACACACCCTTCTCTTACCTGTCTTACATTTCCAAACGCTTCCCTGTCTTCTCAGTGGACACCCGTCTGCCGTTCCAGGCTGAGATGTTCATTCAGAACGTGATTCTGGTGATCTTCTGCCTGGGTGTGATTGGCAGCGTGTTCCCTTGGTTCCTGGTGGCAGTAGGGCCGCTGGTCATCCTCTTTACAGTGCTGCACGTGGTTTCACGAGTCTTCATTCGAGAACTCAAACGATTAGACAACATCACACAGTCACCTTTCCTGTCCCACGTTGCCTCCAGCATTCAGGGCTTGACCACCGTGCATGCTTATGGAAAAGAGGACGAATTCCTTCAAAGGTGAATGCTGGGCAATCATTTTATAGTGTTTCTTTTAATGTGCTTTACGGTAAGCATTGTACGATACGTTTATGATAAGACTTCCAGTGAGCTCACTTAATTGACTTTGTGTGTTTTATCTCAGGTATCAGGAGCTGCTGGATCAGAACCAGGCTCCTTTCTATCTGTTCAGCTGTGCCATGCGCTGGCTGGCAGTGCGTCTGGATGTGATCAGCGTGGCTCTCATTAGCATAACGGCTTTGATGATTGTCCTCATGCACGGCCAGATCCCTCCTGCATACGCAGGCCTGGCCATTTCCTATGCTGTACAGGTGAGGGAAATTGTGCAAAACACAATCTTTTGACTCTTTCAGTGTCAACCATTTGACATTTGGTTTAAAATTAAATCATGAACTCTTGAAACTCTTAAAGGCATACTCCACTTTTTTTTGGAAATAGGCTCATTTTACAACTCCCCCAGAGTTAAACAGTCGAGTTTTACCGTTTTCGAATCCATTCAGATGATTTTCTGATATTTGGAAGAATATCAGTAACCAGACGGTTTCTGGTCTCATTGACTTCCATAGTAGGAAAAAAATATACTATGGAAGTCAATGAGACCAGAAACTGTCTGGTTACTGATATTCTTCAAAAAAATCAGAAAATCGGCTGAATGGATTCGAAAACGGTAAAACTCAACTGTTTAACTCTGGGGGAGTTGTAAAATGAGCCTATTTCCAAAAAAAGTGGAGTATCCCTTTAAAAACAGGCTTGGGATATTATTTGCTGTAGTTATTATATCAACAAAGCCTAATTTCCAAAAGTAAAACACAATTGATGATAGTGTTCGACCATGTTGGAAATGGGACTTTTATTTTCACAGCCTCAAGAACGAAGTACAGGAGCTTCTTTTCTCAGTCTTTCCTTAGTTTTCTGTCTTTGTAAAGTTCTTTTTAATAACTGAAAAGCAAATGCTATAATACTTTTTATATACTACCGAGATTCTGTAAATACTCATTTTAAATGTTTTTCAAAATCAGTCTTTGAATGTCTCAAAAATATTCACTGCCACAAACCTAGAAAACTCCATCTTTGGATGTGCCCGAAGCCGAATGCTATGTTTGGAAAGGAAATTATGGATTATATGGAGCTCTTAAAGAGACATGATGATAGAAAAAAATATGAGAGATGAGGAAAAAATAGTATAAAATATAGTTTGGTATTTATATTGTATATTATTTGTGGGCATCAGGAAGACACTATTAATATGTGTGGTATTGATATCGCTTTTGATTCAACCCCCTGAATAAGATCCGCATTTGACGCAAGGATGCTCTTCAGTTTCCGGTTAGGGAGATTTAAAGGTTTATGGCAGAGTCTTCCAAATTTACTGTCCTCCCATCTTTAAAACGAAACTTTCATACGTTTAGTTATGTTTATTTAATATAATTTTAAAAAGAAGCATAAACACAATGAAGGGTGTCTGTTCTGTCTGTTTTTGTGACTAACGTTTCTTTAGTATAACCATGGAGTATAAAATCCAATATAAATTCTCGGTATTGCATTGGACTCTACGATCGGCGGAAGTTATCGAGCATCCTTATGCTGCGTTCATGTGCTATGGTAATTATGGTAAATACCAAAAGCCGACGTGGAAAATGCACATGAGCACCCCCTCATGTGATATTTTCCACTGGGCAACTCGTAGAATATTTTGATGGACGAGTTGCCGAGATGAGATAACCTTTGATCTTTTCAAAATGGCGGAGAGCACCGCGAGAGTCGTGAATGGTAAACATATATACTATTCTTGATATACTATTCAAAATATACAGCATATTATTTACCTTTTGGGTTTTGATAAATCATTTTCTTGCTGTTGCAGATGACTTAAGCAATCTAAAATAGGTTTAGCTAAATAAATCTTTTTAACACATTACGACAACAAAAGCACTTGAACTGGTAAATACCAGTTCACAAGTGGAAAATATCCTATTTTCCATAGCACGTGAACGCTGCATGAGACCTTCACCGGAAATACCGCCGTGCATAGAGCCCATAGAATCCCTCACAACAGCACAAATCTGCAAAACATGTTAACATACCTGATGCAACTAATCAAGGGCATCATTAGTTGCACCAGGTGTGTTTGAGCTTGAACACATGAAATATCTGAACTGGCTAGGGTTGAGTGTCATGTTAGAAGCATGGCAAAGTCAAAAGAATGGTCCAAAAAGTTACGAGAAGATATCATCGCCCTTCACTAACAAGGAAAAGGATGCAAAAATACAAAATTTTCCCAGAAACACCATTGGAAGCATAGTTAGCAAGTTCAGAGTTAAAGGAACAGTGATCACACTTCCTGGACGGGGCAGAAAAAGGAAGCTATCAACGGCTGCAACCAGATTTCAGGAAAAACCCTCAAGTGACTGCAAAAAAATGAAATGTCACAAAATGAAAGTCCACTGTTTCTTGCACCAATGGCAGATGGATGCAAGTGCCATTTTGTGCATGTTGTGCTTTTGTCCCTTCCGTTTTTCTGCCAAAATTTCAGTAAAAAAGTGAAGCGAGAACAGTGCTTTCCATTTTTAGCGCCTTCTCCTCCTGAGTCATTAATTATCTAGCTACCCTAGTAAACAGGTGCCACTAGTACTCACGGTGGTCTTCATGTTGATGACGCAAATGTACTGCGGTTTAGAGCCAAATAATAGGGACCTGTGAAAAGAGACCTGCAGTGAAATAGGAAATGGACATGAGTTTGGACCAAGTGTGGAAACAGCATAAGACTCGTCTGGAACACATCTATTTGCCTCAAATGAGATTGAATAGGGTAAAATGGTCAGTTATAACAATAGAGAAGTAGATTTTTCCTGGATTAACATCTCTTTCCTCTCTCACAGCTTACAGGATTATTCCAGTTTACTGTTCGCTTGGCCTCTGAGACCGAAGCGCGGTTCACCTCAGTAGAGAGAATCCATCATTACATCAAGGTGCTTGTCTTGCATCATTTCTTTTGCCTGACAATTTCAGCTTGACATTAAAATCATTCTTTACGATGAATTCAGAATAGAGAGGATGAAGTCTCACCTCTTTCTGTCTTAGTCTCTGTCTCTGGAGGCCCCTGCCAGGGTGAAAAACAAGGCTCCTCCATCTGACTGGCCCCAGTGGGGCGAGATAGTGTTTGATGGGACAGAGATGAGGTACAGAGACAACCTCCCATTAATACTGAAGAAAGTTTCCTGCACCATTCGACCGAAAGAGAAGATCGGAATCGTTGGACGAACCGGCTCAGGTCAGTCTCTTCTCTTGTTTTTTTTTTTTTCTCAACAATTACGATGTTCAATTTTATGTCACTTTTTGATTTAGGGGCCTCATTTATAAAACACATGTACGATCGGATTTCATCCTAATGCCCATGGATTTTTTTCCTATTTCAAAAGTGAGGAACAAATCAGGATTTATAAAGGCAAAAACTGGAGTGGAAATGTTCTTATGCGTACGCCAACTTACAAAGTTTTTCTACTCATATATATATATATACCAGTAATTACAATAATCCAGCATTGTTTGTTAAAATGTAAAGATAAATATTGAGCAAATGAGAAAATGTATCGTTTATGAATTGTATGAATGATTTTCTGGAAATACACACATATTCATTACAATAGGTTTTTTTATAATAAATTTTTTTTTTTAACGTGTGTGTAAAAGTGTTTTATAAATCATTCGTAGGAATTCATCATATGTTTACATTTAGGATCATTTGACGTAGATCTTGATAAACGAGGCCCCAAGCCTTTAACCCTCTGGGGTTGTTCGTTTCAGAGTCACACTCGGGGTGTTCGGGTCCAAATGGACCCAAAGGGCGGGATTCATATTATTTTTTTTTTAAAAAAATCATGATTTTTTTTTTTTTTTTACTCGTTTTTTATAATATTTTTTCATTTCTTTTTTGGTGTTTTGAGAAAATTTCAAAAATAAAAAAATGTATGATTAGTATTGATGCAATAATTATGACAAAATTTCCCCCCATTGAACATAATAGAAATTTTTTCTAATTTTTTTTAAAGCTGTATTTCATTTTAGAGTCAAGCCTAGGCCTCATAAAAGCAATTTTTAAAATGAGATTGATGCCATCTGGTGGACAAACTGAGCATTTTAAAAATGCAAAACACATGTATAATCTGAATTTTTTGGTGTGTTTGTGTATAAAAGTGTGTTTGTGTGTGTCTGGATGTGTCTGTTTTGCACTCTTGATGTTTTATAGATTCACCCCTTCACTGTTGTGTGCTTTTTTTCAAGATCGTGGCTGATTTGTAGATTGTACGCACCAAAAAAAAAAAAACTCAGTATTTTCACATTTTTGCCAATTTTCCATTAATTTTCCATGCGGGTCCATTTGGACCCGAACACCCCAAGTGTACCTATTTTTTTTACAACCACTTAGACTATTCACATCCTGTCCCCAATTTTTTTGGGTGTTCAAATACCAAATACCAACAAAGTCACCAAATTTCAGACCAGACCATTTTATTTTAATACTTCTGGTCCATTTGGGCCGAACTGTACCATCAAGCTTCTAAGGTACTCGATAGGAAGCCTAATACCCATCATCACTGCCACTGTCTAAAAAAACACAATCTAATGACTTGGGATAATCTTATTAAATTCACAGACTCTTGTCTTGTTTTTAAAATTTTACATGGCTTAGCTCCCCCACCATTAACTGCTTTTATAAAACAAAAAACTACTGTTATTAGACATACAAGGTCTGTAACAAGAGGGGATTGTGTAATACAAATGAGAAGAACTGCCTTTGGTCAGTCAGCTTTTTCTGTGAGAGCAGCTCACACTTGGAACAGTTTACCTACATCTATTAAGGACACTGCTTCATATGGGCTGTTTAAGATTAAATTAAAATCATGGTTAAAGGACAATCAAGTGTGTACCCATATTCTGTAGTTTTAAATCATCTTAATCATGTTTTGATTTGTTGTTCTTGTTGAATGTATTTTATGAGCTTCTATGTATGTATAAGTATTGTTGATAGTTTGAATGTATTTTATCGGTTATTACATCTGCCCAGTGACTACAGTTGAAAATTAGCCAAGATGGCTAAACTGGCACATTTACGCAAGCGTTTATTAATGTGCATGGTCCCTGTAACTTTAAACTGATTAAATAAATAAATAAATAAACAACCCCAGAGGGTTAATGAAATATGAATTTCTTGACAAAAATAGAAGGTGAAATCAGATCATTAATGTCATGAAATCTGCCATCTTATCTGTCCCTTAGGGAAGTCTTCTCTAGGAGTGGTTCTCTACCGGCTGGTAGAACCGTGTGGCGGCTCCATTAAGATTGATGGTGTCAACATTTGCGACATTGGCCTTGCAGATTTGCGCAGCAAGCTGTCAATCATTCCACAGGAGCCAGTGCTTTTCAGTGGTACTGTCAGGTAAGCACACAGTGGTCAATGTTGACAGTGGCCTTAATTCCGCTTCATATGAATGTATTTAATTGTCATTTAGTCATACAACTGTAATTTGTATTTTCTAACAGATCCAACTTGGATCCGTTTAAGCTGTATTCAGAGGAGCAAATCTGGGATGCCCTGGAGAGGACACACATGAAAGAATGTGTAAGCCAAACCCACACCACAACATATATAGCATTTACTGGCAAAGTTCTTACAGGTTACCAACTCTTTTACATAGCAGCTGCTCATTTTGTCTAGCTAGGTCCAAGTATGCTCTTGTCTCCATTGTTTTACTGTTTCTTTCTTTCTTCCCATGGCCTTGAATCTTTGTAATTGTGTGTATTGTATCTCCCCTCTGTTGTTCAGGTGTCTCAGCTGCCTTTAAAGCTGGAGTCTGAGGTGGTGGAAAACGGGGAGAATTTCTCGGTGGGCGAGAGGCAGCTGCTGTGTGTGGCTCGAGTTCTTCTGAGACAGTCCAAGGTTGGTTATCCCACCGACTGATATTTTCCACGGGAGACAGAGCCAATTGGGATTAGCAGATAAAACAGAACAGACTTTGTCTCATTTAACCAGGTCATCCACTTTGTGTCCTCCCAATTTTCAGATCTTGATCCTGGACGAGGCCACAGCGGCCATGGACACAGAGACCGACTGTTTGATTCAAGAGACGATTCGTAATGCATTCGAGGACTGCACCACTCTGACCATTGCACACAGAGTTCACACAGTGCTCAACTGTGACCGTATTATGGTGCTCAATCAGGGACAGGTACGGTGTAGTGGTGTGATGACTAGATTTGATGGACAGCAATCAGTAAAATATCAAATGTTGCTGCTGTGGGAAGTAGGGATGGGTGATGTACGGCGTCATACGGTCATATATTTATATATACAAATGAATTCGTTGTGATGAATTCTAGGGCTGGGTATTGACACAAATTTCACGATTCGATTTCGATTCGCAAGCTTGCGATTCGATTTCGATTCGATTCAATATTGATTATTTTGAAAATCAGTTACAATAAATGGCAAATTTTCTCAAGGAAATCAAATCTCTTAACTAATGCTGTAAACTATGGCAGTCTAGTTATCATTAGCCAAATATGAAAGTAATAATTAACTGTTTTGTAGCTATACAAACACTTAAATTACACTTTTATTTATTTTTATAATAAGAAGATTATATGAAATATAAACATTTAAATGGTGGCTGTCATAAAAACTTGCCAGATTTATTCAAATATGCATTAAATATTGAAGAACATTAAGATTATAATGCATATGTAATATGGTGTATATATTTAGCAAAATGCTCCTCTCTAGAGTTATTTTTTCTAGCTGACTAACGAGTTTATGTGGGTTTTGAGGTAAATTTATATGACGATACATGAAACGCTGATTGAGCGAATCAATGTGACATGATACGGATTTCGATAAGTTGTACTCTATCTTTAACACACTTTCAGATGCTCATTCATGTTTATTTTCGTGGTATTATTAACCCGGAAGAGAGATCAGCGCTGCTGCTTCTCTTGAGCTGCGCCAGAGCGATCTCACGCCACAGCGCCAAAACCTTATTTATGTTTTTAAATTTCTAAAGAAAATGGACGTAATTTGAAAATTGAAACTTTGTTTCATATCAATAGTAACAAACGACAAAGATTATTGCGATTTTTATGCCGCGATATAATGTTCCAGTCATTCAAATGAAACAGGATGACTAATCGATTCTTGAGATTTAAGAATCGATATCAGTTCGTAATATCGAGAAATCGATATTTATTACCCAGCCCTAATGAATTCATAACGGCGTAGACATACACGCATACAAAATGCGTATAGATAACACGCCACTTGAATTGAAAGTGGCGTGCATGTTTACGCAAAAGTCATGATGTCATGTTGGTGATTGGCTAAAATGCTCAACGCTGTTAAACACGTTGTACATAGAAACCTTTGACGGTGTACACGAACAATAGTGTTTGGAAGCATCATAGTCATGAGACAGAAAAACAGGTGAAATTGGCTACTGGTTTTATAACAATTTTGCAGTTTTCACAATATTTACTCTGTGAGCAAAGATATGCCGATAATATTGCTAATTAGGGTTCTGCCGATAGACACAGTCAGAGATGCCTTTGAAGACACTATTGCTAATCCTCAATGTATTACGCATCCCTAGTGGGAAGAAATCCATTGCTCCGTGGATCCTTCAAACGTATTTGTTGAAAGGAGCCTCTTTCTGTGGTTCCTCTGTTAAACCGACTCTTTCTTTCTTCTGTTTGACCCAGGTGGTGGAATTCGACGAGCCGTCCAAGCTCTTGGCGAATGAAAACTCTCGCTTCTGTGCAATGCTGGCAGCGGTGGAGAACAAAATCTCTGTAAGAGGCTAAAGGACAGCCGAGCCAAGGTTTCACTCCCGAGGACTGAAGGGAACATTCTCCATTAATATTCCAGTCATTGCTGCTTCAATGTTACTCCCTCCTGCAAACCTATAGGGACCTGGGGAGGGAGATTATTGTATTTCCATGAAACTCATGGGCTGTCATTAGGGGCATGCCTGTTAAGATGTACTACTCGTCAGTTTAAATGGTTAGGTCAAGAAACACTGATACTGTAATGATATTTACATAATGGAGAGGGGAAATCAGTTTTCATGTAGTTTAATTCATGCAAACTGGTGTGTTTACAGAGGACATATCTCTGTTTATGAGTATATATATATATACATTTACAAGGTGGTTGCAGAGTCCTTTTGTGTTGATTCTGCAGGTCTTTGTACATTTATGTAATATATATATACATATATACATTCAGATGTATCATCTTTCATTACAGTTTAATATTTTTGACAACTTGACTGTCTTCAGTACATGTGTAAATGTTGTCTTGTGACTTGAACCCTAAACTTTGGCACAGGAGATGTTGTGCACAGGACGCTGTACGAGCACTGGGTCGTGGGACTCTTCTAAGAGACACAGTGCTGCTTATTCACTGTATCCTTGTTCGGCACACCAAGGATTCAGTCTTCTTTAGCTAAGAGGCCTTTGTATATTTTTAGCCTATTTACACTGTTAACATTTTTGCCGGTCCCTTTTACTTTTCCTCTTATGTATGAAAGCATTTCTCATTTTGGCTTGCTTCCACAGAAGAGTTCGCCTCAGTAGGAGGTCTCTGAATTGGTCCCAAAAAAGATTCTCAACGGGCTTTTTGTTTTCATGTGTGTTACGTTGTCCATCACAACACTGGTGCAAAGAGATCACGCTGAATGGACCTCCCGAATCAGGTTGTGATGCTCATTTGCGGTCTGTATGAAGGGGAATCTGATTTTGTAGACCCTCATTCCCTCTTCAGACCCTGCGAAAATGTCAGTGTCATTTCAATTTCTTTCCATAGCCTTAGCATGATTTCTTTATTGCCTTGTGAAAAGGGTGGAAAGAGAGCAGGAGACTCTCCGCTGTCTCAATAAATTTATTTTAGGTTTACCCTTTCTGTGTCTATGTTTCTGGATTGCTGAGAGAGGAGTAACTCTAATAAAAAATGCAAGAGATATGCCAATGACTATAGAAGGTCATTTTAGTGTGCTTTCCCATAGATTCACTTATTCTCAGTCCGAAACATCCTGCTATTCTGCCATTTCTTATAATTATCCAAAAGAAAGAACATTACAATTTCTGAGGGTGACAAAGACCCAAAGAAAGTTTGATATACTTGAGTTGTACAATTAATGAGCCCTTTATTTAAGTTTCTAAAATATTACATTGATTATTTTTGTTGACTTGATGTCTTATTGACTGTATGAAGTGCTTGTACCTTAGGAGAAAGTTCCTCCACAAACGCCTCTGCATAGGTAGGATGACACTTGTAAATGGAAAAACCCAGCCAACACAGTATCATATGTGCTGCTGACCAATTGCGACAAGACTACAGTATATTGTAGTAGTATAGTGTTATTTTGGTTATTCATTTTTAACAGACACTTACAGTCCCTCTAGAAAAACGTGGGGTTAAAGGAGTAGTTCACTTTTGAAAAACTTTTGCTGATAATTTACTCACCCCCATGTCTTTCTTTCTTCAGTCGAAAAGAAATTAAGGTTTTTGATGAAAACATTCCTGGATTTTTCTCCATATAATGCACTACATTGGGAACCAAATGGTTCAAGGTCCAAAAGACACTTTCAGTACAAACTGCAAACTTTTCAAAGGGCTTTAAACGATTCCAGACGATGAATCGCTCATTTAATAAATAAATAACAAATTTTAAGTTTTATAAGTTCAAATTGTCGCCTTGCTCTGTTCTGATGAACATTTTCAAAATGAACAAATCTTTTTCCGAGTCATTTGGTTCATTCAACGAACGAATTGACTCGGAAAAAGATTCGTTCGTTTTGATGAAAGAGTTCGAACAGGAGAGTCACAAACGTGCATCACAAAACAGAGCAAGGTGAGCATTTTAGCTTATAAAACGTAAACTTTGTTATTTATTTATTAAATGAGCGATCGTTTCGCTTCATATGACCCTTATTCATCGTCTGCAATCGTTTAAAGCCCTTTGAACAGTTTGCACTGAAAGTGTCTTTTGGGCCTTGAACTGTTTGGTTCCCAATGAAGAAAAATGCAGTAAAGTTTTCATCAAAAACCTTAATTTCTTTTCGACTGAAGAAAGAAAGACGTGGACATCTTGGATGACATGGGGGTGAGTAAATTATCAGCAAAAGTTTTTTCAAAAGTGAACTATGTGGGACACCATACATAATCTGATGCACTAACTATTACTACTGTAGTGTACAGTACATCCTTATATTTTCTGGAAGCTTGTTCCAGCTGCGGCACGTTTTAAGTGAATTTTAGGTTATTCTAGCATATCTGCAATGTATTTTGAGTCCTAGGCCATTCCTTTACTTTGAGATGAAACTGGAAGCCAAGCTGGTGCGATCAATCTTTTGGCTTTCTAGGTGCCTGCAGCAGTTTTGTATTAAATTAGCTGCAACTGTCTAATAGTCTTCCAGGGAAGGCCAGTAAGAAGTCAAATTCATTTTTCTACCCTGCTGGTAATGAATGCAATAAGCTCCTCTAGGTCTTGTTTGGGGGAAAAGGATCTGATTCATGCTATGTTTTTAGATGGTTGTAGTAGGCAGTGTAGGAGAAACTTAAACTAATGTGTTACAATATTGTGTTACTCCGTGTTTTGGCTTGGCTTGACTCCTTGGCTCGCTTGTTTTGTAATAAAAAAAAATCTTGGCCAATGTAAAGACCCTTTCACAGCTAAGCAAATAAGCCTCGTACTGATGGAAATGCACATTACGCCTGTAGATACTTCAACTCAAACCATTCAGCTCTGCTCCCATTCTTAATTGCAATTGACATAAAGTATGTGTTATTTATTTATTGAAGGTTTGCACAATATTCTGAGCTTACATTTCACTGTTTTAATTCATTTTGAGAAAGACTGTATGTGATTTTTTGCAAGTGAAATGAGTAAACGCATACTCACATTTAGTCTAGAGCTACAATAAGCATCACGTTCACACCGCATCTGCACTTACGGAAACAGAGTAACTTGCGTTACTTATTTGAAAAAGTAACAGATTATTTTGTTGTAATTGCATTAAAGTTACTGGAAAAAAAAGTAATTGATTATGTAACTCATGTTACTTGTAATTTATTACCCCCTCCCCTGGTTGTAATCTGATTTAGTTATTGCTTTTATATGGCTTTCACTGTTTTAATTCATTTTTGAGGAATACGTAAAATGGGTAAATGCATACTCATTTAGTCTAGAGCTACAATAAGCATCATGTTCACACACAGAGCATCTACACTTACGGTTTCTCTCAACATGGGGACAGGAGAGCTGTCAGTCAATAAATGGGAAAACAGTATATGTAACTAAAAAATATGTAACTCATGTTGCTTGTAATTTAATACCCCCACCCCTGGTTGTAATCTGATTTAGTTATTGCTTTTATATGGCTTCTGAAACTACGATAATATTCTTGAATGACACCAATACTCCTGACTTCCTTTTTAGTTTATAGACCCCTGAAGTAAAGGTATGTATTCATGTTAGATATGTTATCTTTATTGCCACATAAAATTACCTTTGTCTCTCTTTATTTAACTTGGTATATGCAGCTGTTAATTAAATTTTTGCACTGGCACAGGGAGTCAATGGGACCGAAGTCACTTGGCGGTAGATCTGGATGTCATATAAGTAGGCCTGTCATGTAAGTAGCTTCTTCAGGTGTGTTTGATTAGTGCTGGATAGTAGGCTTCCAGGAACAGGGCTGAAGAAGACTGATCTCAGTATTTTTGAAGATTAACTTCAATGATTGCGATTACGAGGGCTTGGAGCCAGAAGGGCGTAAGTGGCTTTTAACAAACTTTACAGGAGAGACAAAACAAAATTTTGACCATGCTTCAATCACCTGTATTATTAACCTTAAACCACAGACATTGCAACCCCATGCATACTTACATGAAATTAGTATTTAAGTAAAAAATGTATGGCATATTAACAGATTGAACATGTTCTAAAACATTTTCAAAAAAAAAAACAAAAAGTCAAATACGTCCGATACACCTTTTTGTTGCTTTTTTCAATACAGGTTGATCTCAGATAGGAATTTTTGGCACCATTGGATAGAGCTCATTGAGACCTTTATTTTGATATAAAGAACTCATATTCGCCCAAAATGCCACTTATGCCCCTCTGGCTCCAAGCCCATATGGCACAGTGGGAGCATATAACAAATTGAACAATATATTACAGTAAAACAGGGGATATTCAAATGAATTAATCAATCAGTAATACCATTGATCGGCTCTACCAAACATGGATATTTTTCCACTAAAGAAATGAATATTGTTATGTTTTGATTGATACTGTGAAGCTGCTTTGATGCAATCTATATTGTGAAAAGGCGCTATATACTTGACTTGACTTAACAGTAGTGTTTGTGAACACTGAACAGGCACAAGGATTGAAACTTGTGGAGATTTTTTTCCATGCTAGCCCTGTTAAAATTATAAATGTTCACAAAGTTCCCCTGCTTTATAAATATCACCCATCTAGTCACTGTCTCAGAGAGTCCAGCCTTCTTTTTCCAGTCTGTTAATGGGTGTATTGTGGTCAAAAGCACTCTATAGTAAAACCAACATTGCAATTTTGCCAGAATGAGTATAAGCAATCATTTAATATCTTATTCAGTGCAATCTCTATGCTGTTTAGATAACCAGCTGGTTGTGCAAAGTTTTTTTTTCCTATTTTTACATTTAGATTGCATTTACCTCATCTAGACAAGGATAATGTAATCATATCCTGCAACCTGCCTCCTGAAGCAGGGTTGAAGACCTCTGCTCTATTTAAATACTTAATATTTTAAACTGTGAATAACTGTTTTTAACAACAATTTAATGTCAGTTCCAGGCCATAACATGAAAATTATTGTTATTTTATCGGTAGGCTATTAGCCAAAATTGTAATATTTGTGCATTGCTAGTTAGCTAGGCTTAACCCAATGCAACATCATTCCTAATGTAGGGCGTTGGTCAAGGTTACAATACTATTATCCATAGTAGGCCTACTGATTAAAGCAACATTGTACCCACAGAGTGTACAACAGTGTTGTTGTCCACTGGTGGGTCGTGTTTTCATCAGGACAGGAGCTCCACAGCGCCCCCCTGCAGCTCGAAAACTTTCCCGTCTCGAAGTGATTTCCTCCCTTGTTTTTACTTCCTGTTTTCTAAGGGAGTCACTTAACTCAGCTTTTCTGTGCTCATCAGGGCTTCACTGAGCGTCTCTTCCTCTACCGGTAGTTTCCACCGATCTCTCCGTGGCTCTCGAGACGGAACGCAAGCCGTACATCGACCGCGGGACATTCACACACACACATATTCTGCTTTAGATGGAGGTCGGAGGGCTGAACTCAGTCGTGTCTACGGCTCTAATGGATTTTACGTAGATTTGCGGTTTGTTTTAATGCCTTTTACCGTCTCGCCGTCCGTTTTACTATCATTTCTCGCATTCGGTTTCCTCCTCGGCGGAGTGTCGACCGCCCCTTTAACTCCAGCAACAATGTAACGAACTCGATCGCTTGTTCATCTCTCTTTCGCCGATATCCGTGCGCGTTCGCCGCGTGTAAAGTTTCTCGTTATCGTCACGGATAACTGTTATTTACTAGCCAAACTTTGCGATGGCCGAGCTCCAGCGGCCGACGCTGTGTTGCTGTCGCAAAGTGCTGACCGTGCCCGGTAAGTCTTGCGAGGGCGGCCGGAGTCTGGCTCACTGTCGCCTGGTGGACGTCGCGTCAGCGTCCAACTTCCACAGCTTTAAACTCCGACATTTCCACCTGGACCTTCACTTGAACTTCGCCGTCAAGAGGATGACGGGATGGCAGGTTCTGGAGCTCACGCCCGTCCAGCCCGGCGTCCAATCTCTCATTCTGGACACGCACCCTTCATTATTAATTCATTCCGTGGACTGTAAGGTGCCCGGCGTGTCCGGTGCTCCTGACGTGTTTATGTCCCTCACCTACCGAGTAGAACCGTTCACCGATTACGGATCCTCTCTGAACATCAGCCTCCCGGCCGCAGTGAACCGGCCTCACCGGGCTTTCCGTGTCACCATCCGCTACACGACCACAGACGGCCCTGCGGTAAGGTCAACGCGGTGACAGCTGACGATACACGCTAATAATAACTTTGTTGCACAGGACTATTGTACACAGAGCCAAAATCCACTAAACAGTGCAACATTAATGTTGACAATCACCCTTTCTGCCATGATTAAATGGGTTTTGTGGGATTGTCACGTGCTTGTGAAATCACCCTGTTTATTTATCAGATAGCCTACCTGTAAGCATAAAGCACAGTGACTGTTCTGGAGCTACTGATAAGAATGACCTCAGTGTAGTGGCATGTCCCCTTAAGTAGATAACTAGACTTATCCAGGTCATGATCACTGGAAGGTGGGGTTATATTAAACATGCTTCAGTGCAAAAATTAAAATTATTGCATCATTTACTCACCCTCAAGCTATCCTATGTGTAAATGACTTGGTGAATGGTAGATTTTTTTTAAGCCTAAAAAAGTGCATCCATCCTTCATAAAAGTAATCCATATGACTCCAGGGGGTTAATAAAGATCTTCTGAAGTGAAGTGTTTTTATAAGAAAATTATCCGTATTTATAGCTTTATAAACTATGACTTTCGGTAACGGCCGTATGCAAGGCTACTTAGAAGAGTGACCTCTGACCTGACGCCTGATGTATTGAAGAACGCAGAGGATAGAGTCAAACAAAACACTGGTAATTCACGAATTAGAAAGTCTAAAAAGAGAACTTTTAAGAAAATGTGGGAGGAGCTTAAGCTTGTTACACAGCTCTATGTGTTTAAACCATGAGAGGCGTCTACTCTCACGAAGCTTTCGCAACTCCTACATCATACGCCATGCGTCGGGTCAGAGGTCACTCTTCCGCCGGAACTAGACTCATTTAGTTTATAAAGTTATAAATATATATATTTTCCTTACAAAACACATCGCTTCACTTCAGAAGGCCTTTTTAACCCCCAGGAGCCTTAGGATTAATTTTATGATGGATGAATGCGCTTGATTCCATCCAAGGTACCATTCACTGCCATTATAACGCTTGGAAGTGCCAGGATATTTTTATAATACAACTGATTGTGTTTGGCTGAAAGGAGAAAGTCGTATACACCTAGGGTGGCTTGAGGGTGAGTAAATTATGGGATCATTTTTATTTTGGGGTGAACTAACCCTTCAAAAAATTGGTGGCTGTCTGTGTTGATTACAAAAACAAACCCATTTAATGTTATTTATACTGTAACCTATCCATCTCAATGCCCGCTTGCACAGAGAGGGTTCATTTTAAACCTATTATGCTTCTTTTAGTGTTGTTTTTCAGTTTTTATCACTCTGTTGAATGTCTCCAATAGACTTTAATCTAGTAGTAAGAGTAGTTTTAAATGTGCCAGAAAGTTTTCTTTACTTAAAGTAGTTCAACACAAGGTTTTTAATTTGTAAGCATAACAAACGTGTTTCTTGGGAAAGACTTTTTTTTAACCCAGCAAAGCAAAACATTATTCTCACTGATGTTTCCAAAACAAGATATGATCACAATTGTAATCAAACATCACCTATAATGGCCAGCTATATAACATTGTTTCGGTGAACAGTTAAAAAAAATCAGCTTATTTCTTAACAAATTGAACAACAATATTCAACGCATCACAGAGAAACAAATATAAATGTAATGTAATGCATAAAAACTAGGGCTGTCAAATGATTAATCGCATCCAAAATAAAAGTTTGTTATTACATAATATATGTGGGTGCACTGTGTATAATTATTTTACACAGTGCACCCACATATATTATGTAATAACAAACTTTTATTTTGGATACGATTAATCGCAATTAATCATTTGACAGCCCTAATAACACATTAAATTTCAAAATTAACACAGCACTGGTCAATAGAGTGGTGCAGGGATGAATTATTTCTGTAGTAGGTCAGAACCCAGACTGAATGAGCAATCGAAAGCTTAGTTATTGTGACGCTGAAGTTGAGACTGAGTGATGGGTGTAGTTCATTTATAGCCCAAGCCTACCTTTAGCTGTTGAGTTCTGCCGTTAATGAACAAAACGTGCAAGAATCATAAGCTTTTGTTAGTCAACCAGACCTTATTTTCTGCAATAATCCAAAAGAAAAATCCAATTTGGTTTTTGTAGGTGTGATGCTAACTTTTTTTTAAAGTTATTGTTTTATTGATATAATGAATAACCATTTATCTATTTACAAAACGTAGTTTACTCAGTGTATCGTTTTATTTAGGTAACTGTGTTAAAAACCACCCTGTACACTGAAAACAACAGCTGAAATGTGCTGCAATTATATAGCCTATAATTTTTTTTTTACTTTATACCAGTTTGTCTTACACAAAATAGCATCGAACTAACTGGCTACAGCGTTGGCATTGGGTTGGCCTACAAAAATACGTCAGCAAGTCGAAATTCTGTAAGCTTTCCTATACTGGCCTCTGGCTATCAGGTCATTTCTTATCACTGAGACTTGATTACACCATGTAATTTTAGTGGTATAATATACACAAAAAGCATGGGAATTTTTAGCTGCTCACCTGTATGGGTGTTGTCTTTTTCAACTTCATGGATTCACAACCGCTTCACCAATAGCACTGCAACAATATAATGAAATAAGTGAGATCAGATATCTATAAACCATGAAACTTTATTAACTTAGAGAAACCCTAAGAAAATTTGATTTGTTACTTTAATCTTGAATCACTTGCACATTTAAAGCTTTTCTCTCAGAGAACATTTGTCAAAGGTATTCTCTCATCTCATTGCTCCCTGGTCCCTATATCAGATTTGGTGGCTGGATGCAGAGTTGACATGCGGACAAACCCGACCATTGGTCTTCACTCAGGGTCACTCGGTCTGCAACCGGTCGTTTTTTCCCTGTTTTGACACACCGGCCGTCAAAAGCACCTACTCTGCCACTGTCAGAGTAAGTCTAAGCTGCTAATATCTTTATTTGCATTCAGTATTATTTTTAGATCATGTATATTGTACAAGTGTGAAATACTTTTCAGGGGGCGGATCTCAAATGTTTGTGGATGTATGTGTTTGCGTTACAGGTACCAGAGGGTGTTACTGTGTTGATGAGTGCCTCAAGAAGTGCATACTCTAAACAGGACAGGGTTTTCCAGTTCTCCATGGAGTATCCTGTCCCAGCCTACTTAGTTGCCCTGGTGGCTGGAGACCTACAGCATGCAGATATTGGGCCAAGGTACAGTTGAAGTATCCCTTCTGAAAAGAACAGAAAAGATAGATACCAGCGTATGTTGTTCTGGAGGTTGCTAAATGTAGTTTTGTATCAAATAGGCTGCGTAAATGGTTAACTGGCAAGACCACAAACCCAAGGTGCTACCTTGGTCAACATGGTTCTCAGAAAAAAAAACACTCTGGTTGACCAAAGCCCCTTTCACACAGCGCGTTGATCCCGGGAAATTGCCAGTGTGAACGCAATCACGACCCGGGATTGATACCGGCATTGATGCTGGGTTGGGGACCTAGTAACATTGCTGGAATCAGTCCCGGAACGTGCGCTGTGAACAAAAGCCAGCACCAATGCCATAAGGGGTGTGTCATAGTGATGATGCTCATGCCATTGCGCGACTCTGTTGCTTTTAGAAGAAAGTTTGTGTTCGTCATGACGAACTGACGAACAAATGTCTGCAAACTGGAACGAAGCAGAGACCAGGAGCTCCTCACCATCCGCGCTGAACCTGAGATCGTTTACCAGCTTTGTGGAACGGTATGCGCGTGTACATGTTTTTGCGTACGGTACGTTACACGTCTCATCCTGACGTCATGTGTCTTTCCGGGATCTTTACAGGTTGTGTGTGAACGCACTCACAGATCCCGGCAAATCACTGGCAGTATGAATGAACCGAAATCAAACAATCACGGGTCGTGTATTTTCCGGAATCTCTGTGTGAAAGGGGCTCAACTTAACTGCATGGTTATGCTGGTTCATCAGATAGATAAGAGCCAAACCAGTACTATCCAGCATAACCAGTCTGTAAATGCTGGTCTTAGCAGGATTTTCAGCTGGCGTGTATGCAAAACATTTCAGGATCATTCTCTATGTAACATACTGTAAGTGCAAGGTTTTCATTTTTGTTCATTGCTATACCTCGGTCGCAATATCTTTGCTTTTAGGAGTCGTGTGTGGGCAGAGCCCTGCATCCTAACGTGTGCGGTCAGTAAACTGGGCGGTAGTGTGGAGCGCTGGCTTAATGTGGCAGAGGGGCTCTTTGGCCCTTATGTATGGGGAAGGTCAGTTCTATTCTTCTCAGTCATATCGGTCTTTTCCACCTTGTCATGTTCAGGCCTAAACCTATCTCACTCTTTACAGGTACGACATAGTGTTCCTTCCTCCTTCATTCCCCATCGTTGCCATGGAGAATCCGTGTCTTACCTTCATAATTTCCTCCATACTGGAGAGTCAGGAATTTCTGCTGATTGATGTCATCCATGAGATTGCTCACGGCTGGTTTGGAAACGCAGTCACCAATGCTACCTGGGAAGAGATGTGGCTCAGTGAGGGTCTGGCCACTTACGCTCAGAGGCGCATTACCACAGAGGCCTATGGTATACACATCCTCACACATATTCACAGTCCTAACATGTGGGCTTCTTGCGAATGTTTATGTATACATTCCACAAAAATGTCAGTGATGTGCCCCAGCAAATGCAAAACCTCAGTGTGTAAAATTCACATATAGGCTTATCCATATTCCACAATGCTCTCCTTACATTTATCTCCTCAATTCTCTGATTCAGGAGAAGCCTTCACTTGCCTTGAGACAGTCTTCCGTCTAGATGCTCTTCACAGACAGATGCGTCTTCTTGGAGACAACAATCCTGTCAGTAAACTGCAGGCCAAATTTGAGCCAGGTACAACCTTTTTAACAATATAAACCAGCTCTTTTAGGCTAAAAGCCATATGGTGATTTTACCACACACCTGAAATAGCTGTGTGGTAAATGCATCTAAAATTCTTTGTTGCTCAGATTTCAGAAAGACATCCTCATTTGCTAAGTTCAGCTTGCCTTGAAAACGTGCCCAAGTATTTATTATGTACTTGTGAAGTGTCAGACCCATGAATCTTGGGTCAAAGTACTCCATTTTCCTCTTTCTCTTTCTCCAAAGGTGTAAACCCCAGCAGTCTAATGAATCTGTTCACCTATGAGAAAGGCTTCTGCTTTGTTTCTTACCTCTCACAGCTGTGTGGTGACATAAAGAGATTTGATAGCTTTCTTAGGGTAAGAAACATGACAAACATTCACATAAATGGCATAGTCCACACGCACACATGAATGTTCTGAACCCTTCCACCTTGTAGGCCTACATTGAGAAGTTCAGATTCACCAGCGTAGTCGCTCAGGATCTGTTGGACTTCTTCCTTGGCTTCTTCCCTGAGCTGAAGGAGAGCTGCGTTGCTCAACGAGAGGGTGAGTTGCGACAAATGTCAGAGATGATGATTAACACACAGAGACGCTTATAGTTACTCATCTCACTGCGCTCCATTTGTCCTCGGTTAGGAATTTCCCTGTTGAGCCAGTCATAATACCCAGTGAGGGGTCAAAGCAACATTAGCAGTACGAGAGACGGAGGCTAAATAAACAGAAATGTGACACTTCTTCCCCTCCTTCGTCCTTCCCCTTTGCTTCCCTTCTTGCTCAGGACTGGAATTTGAGCGATGGCTAAATGGCTGTGGTCCGCCGTTGTGTGAACCAGATCTCTCTGCGGGTAGAGCTCTAACTGGTCCTGTTCAGCGCCTGTGTGACCTCTGGGGCACAGACACCCCTGATCCCCAAGTGATTGCTACATTTGACCTCTCCTCCTGGAGCACCTTTCAGACTGTCCTCTTTATGGATCGACTTCTAGACCGCTCACCTCTGCCTCGAGGTATTATGAATCCTTCCCGCAATTTGTATGCATTTATTTTAGCATGCACTTGGATGCTTGGTTGGTAGACCCTTCTCTTGTAATGTGAAGTGTGATTGGCCTTTCAGAGGTGATGAGTCTTTTGTCAAGCTGCTACTCTGCATTGTTGGACGGTATGAACGCTGAAGTCCAGATTCGATGGCTGCAGGTTGTAGTGCGGAACAGCTTTTATCCTGATCTGCCTCGAGTCCGCAGCTTCTTGCATAAACATGTGAGTTTTGTGAATGAAGTGGCTCTTGCACTGTAACTGATAATACATTATCAGTTACCATGTCCATATTGATTTTAAGATTCTTTTGTGTGCCCTGAAGATAGTGAGCCGAGTTAAAAGCAAGTAAGTATCTTGTTTTGCCTGTGTTTAGAGGACACAAACACTATAGACCCCTTTTGCGCCGACGTCACAGTTACGTCACGGTGCTAGCTGGAGGCAAAACAAAGTGAAAACTGGAGGCGGCCAATACAAACCAGCACAGATTCGGCTACATAATAAGGAGCTTAAATAATTGTTACTATTATTAAATGTCATCTTGTTGTGTTGTTTGGTGCAAGAATTGATGAAAAATGAATATGCTGTATCTGGAACTTTTATTTCAAGAAAATATTCACATCATTAAAATCGCACCGTAATGTCACTCTGTACATTGTCGTCGTCTCGGTGCTGGCTCGGCAGAACTGCGGATCGTACACACAAGTGTTGTACAGGAACATATTGGCATCTAAAGATTTATATGCCCTCAGTTTCTCTTTACGATCAGTTTCTCTATAAGGTAGAAGTCGGGCCACTCAACCGAGGTAAGGTAACGCTAATCCTGTCAGATCGTCCATGCATTGAGTGAGCGTGTAGGCGGCTACGGGTCGGCCAATCTGGTTCTGTCCCTTAAAAATAGCTTTTGGAAATAACAATCGCGGTCCTGGACACTGAGTGACCTTGCACATTAAGATAAAATCGGATTTTCCCCAGTCATTGTTAAAAAACAAGCTAACAATACTTGCTAACTAGCGTTAGTGAAGCGACCAGAGGGATCGTTCTGCCTCCACCTAAGGTCCTCCCACAAATAAAAGTCACCATGTTTACCAACTGAAAAGGGTCTATATAGGTGCTTTTCAACTGCATGGTTCGGCATGACTCGGCTAGGCTCGCTTTACTTTTCTGTTACAGTTTAGTACTACTTCAAATTGGGTGGGATTATCGACAAACCGTAATAGTTGCGCCGCCACCTTGTCTACTGGCCACGATACAGCCATTTATTTTTTCAAGTTGGGTGCGACGGTCGATTAAAGCAAGTAGTTTAAAAAAAGTTGTGTGAACAAATGATACTACGGTGGCTGTTGCTGACTATTTAAATCGTGTCTCGTGTCACAAATCCAATGATGGTGCTAGCGATGATTCTCTCTGACCAGTAAGTGATCTGCCTGACCGATCTCATGAAATGGCGTATGTATGACACGCCAATTTGTATTTCCATTTTTGGCGTGCTATCAACACGCATAATCGCTTTTCAGCGTGTTTATGAACGACGTTGACTTAACGTTATATTACTGTATAAATATAGGACCTACCCCAATCCCGTCCCTAAACCTACCCGTCACTGGGGTTATTAATTTACGAGTCTTCCCCTACTATCCTAGGAAAAAAAATCTCGCTCCCCAGATGTAAATCTACATTTTGCTTCATTTCGCTCGGGCATACATACAGGCGGAATCACTCGGACATTTAACAGCGTAGACATACACGCGGATGACTGATAATGGATAATTCACCACTTGACTTGAAAGTGGCGTGTACGTTTACGCAAAAGTCATGATGCCATGTTGGATCTGCAGTGTTTACACGTCACATTTTAGTATCGGTACAGTTCACTTAGAACCCCCCAAAAGTGGGCCTTACCGAGCCGTAACATGCAGTGGAAAAGCGCCATATGAAGCTAGGGACTGGTTCTCTCAATTTCTCCCTCACTCCTTCACTCCACAAACTGAGTTTTCCTAAAAGGGAATCCACATTCCAGTGTTTCTAATGAACGCTCTCGGCTAGTCTTTGACTTGTGACTGCTTATGACATCATGTCTCATTTCAGAGCTGCAAAGAGATGTGCTCAATCGCAACCAGTTTGACTGGTTTCTTCCTTTGATTCATAAAAAGCATGCTGTATTGATTTCCATTTTCTCAAGTGTATTGCGTCAAGCATGGTCACAGTTCAACTTCAGAGATTGTATCAAGTTTATGAAATCCCCTTGTTGATTTCTGATGTTACCATGATCTTGTAGCATCAAACAATTAATTTAAATGCATAAAATAAACCTCCAAAGTGGAGATATAAAACACTTAAAGTAGTAGTTCACTTTCAAAAAAAACTTTGCTGATGATTTACTCACCCCCATGTCATCCAAGATATCCATTTCTTCAGTCGAAAAGAAATTAAGGTTTTTGATGAAAACATTCCAGGATTTTCTGGACTTGGACTTCATTGGGAACCAAACGGTTCAAGGTCCAAATGAGAGTTTCAGTGCAGCTTCAAAGTGCTTTAAATGACACCAGACGATGAATAAGGGTCTTATCTAGGACCCTTCGAGTCGTGACTCGACAAAAAGATTTGTTTATTTTGATGAACGAGTTTGAACAAGAGAGTCACAAACACTCATCACAGAAAAAACGTAAACTTTTTTATTTATTTTTGATTGTTTCACTAGATAAGACCTTTATTCATTGTCTGGCGTCGTTTAAAGCCCTTTGAAGCTGCACTGAAACTCTCATTTGGACCTTGAACCGTTTGGTTCCCAATGGAAAAAATCCTGAGATGTTTTCATCAAAAACCTTCATTTCTTTTCGACTGAAGAAAGAAAGAAAGTCATGGACATCTTGGATGACATGGGGTGAGTAAATTAGCAGTAAAAGTTTTTTTTTAAAAGTGAACTGCTCCTTTAACTGTGACAGCCACACATCAGTTTGCTACAGTACATATTTTTTAAATAATTTTTGTTGTGCATTTTTAGGCACTACTCTTAGTTTGCATACCTAGATAAGTAAGTAACATGTAGGGGTTTTTGTGCTACTTTTGCTGAGGAATTTTGACTTGAACTTACTGTTGTTGTTTTAAAATAGTAGTGGGACGCCGTATTTATGGAAAATAAATGTCTTATTTTGTCTGTTTTAGCACTGGGTTGTCTATTAACTTTCCTCTTTTCATTTTCTCTAGACCTCAAGGATGTACACAGTGCCTCTTTATGAGGATCTGTGCGGAGGAGTGATGAAGTGTTTTGCTGTGGAGGTATTTTATCAAACTCAGGCCCGTTTGCACCCTAATCTACGTAGGACACTTCAGCAGATACTGTTCCAAAGCAGCGCCCTCAACACCAGCACAGCGCCATCTCTACTCGTATCACCAGCCTCTGCCCCTTCCTCACCCACAGACCCCCCTGCCAACGGGACCATCGCCCTGCGGGACGTCAATGTGTCTGCATGAGATCCCAACTTCTGTGGAGAAGCAGAAGGGTTGAGGTGAAAAACCAGAAGGACAGGAATAGGACAGGGTTTGAACTCCTCGATTCAGACTGGATGCATTGTGGGAGGGCAGCACTGATGGGTGTACACTCTCAACAACACTGGGATGTCTATTTAAAAAGGCAGACACTGATTTTCATAAGCTAAATGTAAAGCTGCTCAGGACTGTGGAACAAAAATAGAGGACGGATGTTTGTGGTGTGTGTGTGTGTGCGCGCGCATGTGTGCACTTATGGATAGGGCTATATCACTATCAAGGATTCTGGTTGCCATCTGTTATCCATTACCCTTTTTTAGTGTGTGTGTGTGAATGTGTGTCTGCTTGTTTTGCATATGTTCCTCTGGCCTATGCACATCATCTCATATGTTGTGTTTGCATCTATTCTCCAATACAACTGAGGAATCAATTGGAGGACTTGACCAGACTTCAGAGACTTTCCTTTTGCTAGCTGCACAGATGTGTTCAGTGGAGGACCAATCCCTGGCGAATCCCTTTCCTGGACAGTGTTTGAGAACTGGTGTGAATACACATACAGTCTGTACTCTCTTCAAATCCGATCATGGCCTAATGAAGACCCTACAGATTCCACATGCTCTCAGCCTTTCTGTGATAAACGGATTGCTTCCTTTTTGTTGGATTTTTCAGTAACTGGAATCTGGCTTTCTCAAGCTTCTCTTTCCTGGTGCTAACCAATCAGCATTGAGTCTCAGGTATCAAGACAGAAGAAGTGGAGCCATGTTAGTGCCTTTCAAACCTTTCAACACTGTGGGTGTTTTCAGCACTGCTGTCCAAATCAACAGCCTGTATTTGTTATTTGAGCCTTACTATTGGTGACCACTTGCAACATTTGTTAAGATGTTATTTTCAGGAATTGAGATGCTGTGGTGAATCTGCATTGGAAGAAAATGATTCTATTTTTATTTTATAATAGGCAAATTTCCCTTAAATTAGTAACATTTGAAGAGAAAGGAACCGATTATGATTTGTGAGACTGCAGTGAGTGTGGGGGAGTTACAGGCTGATCATCTGTGGCCTTAATGGCAAGCACCGTGCAAAGACAGGTTCAGTTTTACAGGTATTAAAAGACATAAGAGAGCACTTTGTTTGTTGTGTCAAAGGAATCCTACCTTGGATTACACCTTCTCGCATAAAAGGTTATATGGCAGACAGACTCATCGGCAAGTGAAATAGTTTCTCTAACTTATAGAATCATAGCTTTTGTTGATTGGAGGCTTAAACTGCACAGCCAATAATAAACGTGTTTGTTTTCCACCCTCATCTAATAGTCTACCTATACTGAGGAAATGTGTTACTGATCCTGCTCCATGTGACACCTTCAGGCAAAATTCATCGTTGTTTTTGTATAGTTACAATAATGTTAGCTCTGAAATTGCGATGGATAGTAGATGTTGAATCTGTATTACAAATGTGATACAAGTTACTATTACTTTCCCTTTACAAATGCCATTTTGTTTTCGAAAAACATTGATATAACCATGGTAATGAGCAGTAAATCATTGTTCCACGAGTTGACATGGAATTATATTCTTACCATGCTAAAAGTATGGTAAATTTGCCATAGACATCGACTACAATAGTCAAACGTAACATTATTCTTTGAGTATCGCCATTTTGTTTTCGAAAAAACATATTACCATGGTAATAAGCAGTAAATCATTGTTCCACGAGTTGATATGGAATTATATGCTTACTATGCAAAAAGTAGCCTATGGTACATTTGCCAGAGACATTTACTAGTCAAACGCAACATTATCCTTTTGAATATCAGAATATACACGACGTTTCGATCTTGATGGAATAAAACAATTGCTTACCGTCAGTGACGGATGGCCTGCTACTTTTGATCATCAACACTGGGAGGACGGTTGTACTCTTAAACCTTTCTCTAGTCTTTGTTAATATTTGCTCATCTCTTAATCTATTCAGGTTCTCTTTCTTCAAATGACTCGAAATGCGAGTTTCTGTACGCTAATGAGTTAACTGTATGCTCGCGCCAATTATGCTCGCGGGAGCTATCTGTCGTCAAGCGCGTTCGTTCGGATCTCGAGATCAAAGTGTTTAGGATAGTCTAAAATAGATATTTTATTTTAAATTATATAGTCACACGGAATGTTTTTTACTTAGGCCATAAAGAGTGACATTATTTTCATGTCAATTAATTACATCACCGCCCTTTTTTTTAACAGCAGGGCAAATAACGTAACTGCTGTAATGAATACTTTACAGCGTAGGCTTATAAATAGGCACAGTATTTCACAAACGACGCGGGTGCTAATTATTATAACAATGTGACGTAATGAATTGTAATGATAATGTCAAAAACTCGTCTGACAGATTTTTGACATATTTCATGTCACATAAATAAAACGCATGTCATGGCTGGTATTTGATTGTATTTTCTTGTCTGCCTCCAGGGGTAAACCGCTGTACCACTTCATCCTCTAGAGGGCGATATCGGCGCACTAACAAGAAATCAAGGTCTGACCCTATGGGTCTGAACAGGTAAATTACGGCTCCAGAATCCAGATGCAGATTTGGTGGATTACAAACTCACATCCCGAAAATATTTAAGGACATTCAAAATATTTCACCAACCTATTTAGTAAAAAAAGGCAAGTTGTCCTATTGAGTGATTAATATGCAGCAGCAACAACTTAACGGCTCCTTGCGTAATCGAGATGCGTCTTTCCCATAGCCGAAGTTCAAATACATTTATAAGCCAGCAGCCAAACAACAGTAGCCTATAATCTTTTATAGCTCGTCCTGTAGAGGGAGCGCAGTGGAATGAATCGATAGGAGGGGCTATCTCACATCGGCCGACAGACAGTTGTTTCCAAAGGACAGAGGCAAAAGCAACAGTATCCATAGGGAGCCCATAGACGACCGACGTGTAGTCGTGTACTATTCTTTCGCTTCACTTTGAAAGGAAACACTGTCTATTATACATATTATACTATTAGATTGATTTGTGTGACAAACGACCGCAAGGATACTGCGCTATCGGATTTTATTGTCGCTGAGTGAAGAGAGCGCGCGCAGGTTGGACGCTCGAGCGTTCCGCGGTGGACGCGAGAGTCGCACGCCGCTGTGGGGCTGATGCGTGCGGCCTTTCCCTCAGCAGCGGCCCGCCATGGCGGAGACCAAGATCATCTATCACCTCGACGAGCAGGAGACTCCCTACCTCATCAAAATACCCATTCCTGCTGAGAGCGTCACTCTCGCCGACTTCAAAAATGTCCTCAATAAACCCAACTACAAATTTTTCTTCAAATCCATGGACGATGATTTCGGGTAAGGCACAATACGCATGTTAAAAGACAATTAAGTTACACCCTTTGTATTTTATATCATTTAGTGTTACTGTCAGCTACCTCAGACAGACTACTTTTTAACGGCTTTATTTTGGTGTCGTTATTTTGTTATTTTCTCTGTCTGTTTGCAAACCTCCCGTCGGTTTCTCTCACAGAACCTCAGCCCAGATTCAATGTGTGTTCGTATTTTTTTTCCAGGTCATTGTAAACGGTATATGGACAAACCGGTAATAAACCGTAGTTTCCAGGACAAATGCGTCTATTGTGTAAGCGGTGGTCTTTACAGATCTGGGGTCAGGTTGAATGAGAGGAGGTATTATATGTGCTGGTCAAAGTCTGTGATGGCTTTAGATTATTTAAAGGAAGAGACCTGCTGTAATTCAGTGACAGATCAGGTGTGAACCCGTAAACCAGGTAGAGTCAGAATGCTTAAAGATTATCCCATTATTACTCACCCTCAAGCCATCAGGTGTAGCCTAAATAACTTTCTTATTTCAGTCAAACACAATCAGAGTTATATATAAAAAAAATTTAAAATCCTGGCTCATTCAAGCTTTGTAATGGAGTGAATGGTAACTGAGATTTTGAAGCCCATTAAAGCACCACCATAAAAGTCCATGCAACTCCAGGGGGTTAAAAAAGGCTTTGAAGCAGAGCAACACATTTTTAAAAGAAAGATATCCATTTATAACTTTATAAACTAGTCACTGGCTTCCGGTAAAGGCAGTACGCGAGTCTAGTTCTGGCGGAAGAGTGACCTCTGATCCGACGTATGATGTAGGAGTAGCGAAAGCTTAGGTGAGAGCTTCTAATTTGTGAATTACCAGTGTTTTCCGAGTTCATAGGTCAGGACAGAGGTCACTCTTCTACCGGAACTAGACTTGTGTGTATGGCCATTAACGGAAGCCCGCGATTATAGTTTATAAAGTTATAAATATGGATATTTTTCTCACAAATATGCATCACTTCGCTTCAGAAGGCCTTTATTAACCCCATGGAGCCGTATGGATTACTTTTATGATGGATGGATGAGCGTATTTGGGCTTCAAAAAATAAGGTACTATTTACTGCCATTATAAAGCTAGGAAGGGTCAGGATTTTTAAAATTATAACTCTGGTTGTGTCTGCCTGAAAGAAGAAAGTCATATAGGATGGCTTGAGGTTGAGTAAATTATGGGATCATTTTCATTTTTGGGCGAACTAACCCTTTAACAGCGTCCATGTTTCATGTTGAAATAATGACTTTCAGTAACAATAAGATGTAAACAGTATTTGGTACTCATTGCTTACTCAGTGCTGGTTCATCATGTAATAATTGCACTGTGACATGAACAATGTAATGTAAAGTGTCGATTGAAGCATCTGTCATCTGTCCAGTCATAAAAAAAACATTTCATAAGCTAGAAATTTGCACTTTTGTTTATATAAAAAGGAGAAAGGGTTTTAAAAATGTCTTTATTCAGTATTCGGAAAAATGACTGACATGGAAATTAATTAGCCAAAGCTGTGAGAAACCTGACATTCACATTTTAAGTTAGAGCGATAAACATCGTGTTTGAAATAATCTTCTCTCTCTCATCTTCAACTGCTGACACACTTTCTGATTTGCACATGATTTACAACACACTTTTGATCAGCTTGACTTTAACCAATTTATTCCTGTGTGTCTGGCCTAACTCAGGACCTGTTACCCGGATCTCCACAGTCATGGAAATATTCGCGTTATTTTCAGTCATAAAAATGAACAAAATCCCCAAAAGAAAAAACTTGAACATTTCTATAATGACTATATATAGCAAGTTATATGCAGCTCCAAAAATATTTCAAAACCTAGAAATTGCTCTTGGTGAGTGCAATCTCTATAAAATAAGTTTAAAAAATCACTTTATAATAAGGTCTAATTTGTTAACATTAGTTACCTAACAATGATTTATTACAGTATTTATTAATCTTTGTTAATGTTAGTTAATAAAAATACAATCATTTGTTGTTTGATCATGTTAGTTCACAGTGCATTAACTAATGTTAACAAGTACAAATGTATTAGTAAATGTTGAAATTAGATAAATAAATGCTGTAAAAGTATTGTTCATGTTAACTAAAGTAGTTAACTAATGAAACCTTATTGTAAAATGCTACCAAAATTCCTTGTACGCTAGTAACTGATGACTGGAAAAGCCATTGAAATTCATTGGTTAAAAAGTGTGGGATGCTATGTGTCATTATTTACATGGTGTTGTTTCCTCAATGCTGCTTTGGCTGCATGTGCGTTTAGACGGAGTATGACTGTTCGATCAGTCTTCCCAGTGTTTTATGAGAGGTAAAGTGCACTTTAGGTGCGCACATCCCAACGCATGTGGCTGAGGTCTGGAATGCAGACTTGGAAACAAGGAACCACTTGGGAATCTCATGCTCACGGATCCTCTGAACAGATTTCCACAGTCACTGTTAAGCCACAAAGAACAGTGTCATGTTGCGAAATCAAGTCCATGCGATCTGCTTTTTGTTTGCTTTTCTTGGCATGCCAGAAGCTTCTCCTGTAGATGCCAAGCTACACAAACCTCTCGGCGCACACACAGACCCGTCCAACACCTGCGAAACAGGACCCTTCTAACACATTTTCTCTTTCCACGTTGCTTGTTTGTATCAATGTTCTGCCCAAACCAGCTCATCAAGGTGAACAGCCAGCCATTGTTCCTCACCCTCTGAGTCTGGCATAATCACTTCCAGACTCGACACGGCCATGCCATGATGCAAAACAGGCCCGCTCGATTCATGCCCATGTGATTCCAAATCAAAAGATTATCTGAATTCATCTTGGTGACCGACAGGTAAACTTGAGACCGAGTAGTTCACTTTTTAAAAAAACTTTTGCATGTCATCCGATATCCATGTCTTTCTTTCTTCAGTCGAAAAGAAATGAAGGTTTTTGATGAAAACATTCCACGATTTTTCTCCATATAATGGACTTCAATGGGAACCAAACAGTTCAGTGCAAACTGCAAACTGTTCAAAGGGCTTTAAACGATTCCAGACGATGAATAAGGGTCTTATCAAGCCAAACGATCACTCATTTAATAAATAAATGACAAAGTTTAAGTTTTATAAGCTCAAATGGTCACCTTGCTCTGTTCTGTGATGCACGTTCGTGACTCTCCTGTTCGAACTCGTTTATCAAAATGAACGAATATTTTTTGTGTGAACGAAATGAACGAGTTGACTCGGAAAAGATTTGTTCGTTTTGATGAACGAGTTCGACCAGGAGTGTCACGAACGCACATCACAGTACAGAGCAAGGTAAGCATTTGAGCTTATAAAACTTTTTTTTTTTTTTTTTAATGAGCGATCGTTTCACTTGATAAGACCCTTATTCATCGTCTGGAATCGTTTAAAGCCCTTTGAGCAGTTTGCACTGAAACTCTCATTTGGACCTTGAACTGTTTGGTTCCCATTGAAGTGCATTATATGGAGAAAAATCGTGTAATGTTTTCCTCAAAAACCTTAATTTCTTTTCGACTGAAGAAAGAAAGACATGGACATCTTGGATGACATGGGGGTGAGTAAATTATCAGCAAAAGTTTTTTTAAAAGTGAACTACTCCTTAAATGAAAGAAGATAAGCGACAAGTTGTGGTTAAAGCTTGTACATTACAGCTCATATGATTAGGTTTTACCCAACGGATTGGCAGGTACGACTGGTTTTATATATTTATCTTATGAATCCCTCAGTTCGTGTCTCATCTCAACATAAGAAGACCATTTAAATCACAGGATTTGACACATTATGGTAATTCACAGATTGCAGTGCGTCACAATCTGATTACACTGCAGCTTAGTGTCTGTAAATATCATAAAGCAGAAGTCATGATAAATGAGGCCAAACACACAAACATTGGTTATCTAAATGGTCCCAGTATCACTAACAGTAACAGAATCACATTTTATTTTAGAAGAAGAAATGATAATAAAAAGCATCCAATACTGATACGTTTTTTAATTATATTTAGACTGTATCAAATAACCTGAGCAATCAGAACCGTTAAGCCGGATCGTTGTTAAATAGTATATCTTATGTGCTTATTTTTAAACAATACAGAGATTGCTTAAATATGGGTATTTTTTTATTTATCTACTTTTTTAAGTTGAATTTTTGTTAGTCCTACTATAGTTCCTTCATTTCAGTGAGCCAAATGACTGAAAATGATATCACCTAATTGATTTTCATGAACTAGGCTGATTAATTTTGTACCGTGAAAAAACTTTTGGTGCAGAAACAATTTTCACTTAGAAATTGCTAGTAAATGGATTGTCTTGTTGTATCTCACAATCATTGTTACTGGTTGTGTGACTTCATAACAAGTTGTCCTGTTGACAGGAAGACATTAATATTGAGTTTGGTGTAATGATAATGAGGATTTATGTCTTTAATCAGTGAGTCTGATTTCAGTTTGCATGGTGTCTCTCACATAGCCATCAGCTTCAGTGAGAGGTGTAGATTATGATCATATGATACCAACAGTCAAACTTTATCCTTTCCAGCTTTAAAACCCTCCACACAAACACACATGGGCATGCACACTCATTATTAGAGGTGTAGTTCACTTTAAAAAAAAGTTTTGCTGATAATTTACTCACCGCCATGTCATCCAAGATGTCCATGTCTTTCTTTCTTCAGTTGAAAAGAAATTACTCTGTTCACAATATCACTCTGTTTTGTGATGCACGTTCGTGACTCTCATGTTCTAACTCGTTCATCAAAATGAATGAATCTTTTTTCAAATCATTTTGTTCATTTCGTTTGTTGAATGAACCAAATGACTCGAGTTTGAACATGAGAGTCACAGAACAGAGCAAGGCGAGCATTTGTGCTTATAAAACTTAAAGTTTTTTATTTATTTTTGAAATGACCGATCGTTTCGCTTGATAAGACCCTGATTCATCGTCTGGAATCGTTTAAAGCCCTTTGAAGCTGCACTGAAAC